TCCAACTGGGACTATTATACTAATAGTCTATTATACTAGTCCCAGCTAGGTTCCAATGTATACTAATAGTCCCAGGTTTCAATGTATACTAATAGTCCCAGGTTCCAATGTATACTAATAGTCCCAGGTTCCAATGTATACTAATAGTACCAGGTTCCAATGTATAAGTGTTTGTCCTTCATTATTAGATTAATGATTATTTTTATTACAGCAATCCTTTTTTTTTAATTGATGACCGAATTATTTTTAACGATTTACTGATTGATTGTACATAATTGAACCCCAACAAAGCTATTTCAGCATAGAAAAATGGAAATGTTGGATATACAGAACTGAGACATCAACCCAACGACATCGTTTTGCTGATTGCGAAAGTTTCGTACATATGTGATCAGAAGACGTTAAAAAAGAAGCGTGGATTTGATATCCTGAAAGGCCTTCTAATTTAATTTTGATAATGCACAAAATCCTCATCTGCTTTGCATTCTATATCATCATTCCGTCCTTGTTTAACTAAAGTCGTAAAAATAAAGTTTAAGAAAATTTTCTAAAACAAATATTGTTGTTTAAAACAAAAAGTGAAATAAAAAAAAAGTTTGAATGGATTGTTTACTGAAGAGGAAAATTTGAATTACAAAACATGTATTACTGAATATGGATTTCTCTGAAATAATCAAATTAGCAATTTCAAACAAAACGTGACCTTCTTTTCTTTGATAAACTATGACAACAAATGTTTTGTCTACACCTGACCTATTCAAAGAAACATAGAGAGTAAACAAGGTTGTTTTAAAGTTTGTTTTCATTTTTCTTTTCTTCATTTATATTGCTAGGTAAATGTAGAATGATTTCAGCTTTTTTAACACAGATCTCGAATTACTCTGTTCATTTTTTTTTTTGGCATGACAAGTCTATAAGAGCGGTAATAGATGTCAGATTTTAATTCACAGCTGTTCAAGATTTAATAATTATCTTGGGAGTACAAGTAAAGAGTTCATTTTTTCAGCATTTCGAACTGCCTCGGTGGACTTGTGGAAGCGTGCTCGACTCGAGTGCGGTATGTCATAGGTTCGATCCCTTGCCAGGTCAAACCATGCAAAGACTTGAAAATCAGTAAATGCTAAGAACGCGGCATTTAGGGGTAACAGCAAAGACTAGTCGGCTCGGAGTCGAATAACGTGTCTGTGTAGGGTGACATCTATTTTGTGGACGTTTAGAAATACTATAGATTAAAAGAATCTAGGAACAGCATAATGATTAGCAATAACAAATATATGAAAATGTTTAAATACCTGAAACCGGAAGCATGTTCAACCACTGTTCCAGTGGTTTTTGCCTATATTTTAAAAGTAGACAGAAACTCTACAGTGACGATTTGTTAACCAATTAAAGCCAGTGGCGCTTGGGGGGATTGGCACTCTTTTCCCTCTTTTTTTTTAAATTCTTTTAATGTAAAATTTCTTTATTTCTTCAGAATTTTAACTAATTTCCCCTTATTTAGCGTATTCTAACTATTAGCTTTACGATTCAACCATAACAGTATTCTATGACTGATGCCCCTGTATTATTATTTTCACAATAACAGTATTTTATGACTGATGCCCCTTTATTATTATTTTGGAAATTAAGAATAGAGGGTCGTTCCTCTGTCATATAAATAATCATATAATTAAGATAAGAAAAATAGTTAAAATACTAAAGAAATTAAGAAATTTTACTTTAAATGAATTTAAAAATGAAGTGGTGGGTTCATTTCCAAAGCGCATGTGCTTATGCGTATTAGAAAAAAAAAAAGAATAATCTTTGAACAACCTTCCATGACACATTAATAGTTTCATTAGCCAACATTATTAATAACGTACTTAAAATGTATATAATACCAATGGTGTAAGTCAAGTTTCTGAAACGGCGAATTCGCAGCAATAGCAAATGATTATACATAAACATATCAAGGCATAACTGCAATCTTTTTTCATAAGGGTTTAGACTTGTCTTTGTTGTCATAGAATAGGAGTTCCTTCATAATATTAGTTCCAAATGGAAGAAATATTCTGCAATACTATTTCCACTGAAACAAATATTACAGTATTTGTTCCTGACTGAATAATGGGTATAGGCTATTTGTTCCTGACTGAACAATGGGTATAGAATATTTGTTCCAAACGGAACAGATATATTATAGCATTGTTTATAACTGAGATTACTTTATAAAGTTTCTAGAGGAACGTTTGTCAGGAGAAACAAATATATGTTGACATCATCATTGAATTACGCTCGAGACAAAAAACTCAGATATCTCTTCAACACTGGGCATACATCGAAAATATAAACTTTGACATTGACATAAAAGAACCAGACCAGATATTAAGGTTTCAACAAGCAACCCAAAAACTATAGTTTTTTTGTTATTAAAAGCTAAACAAATGTAAACACAGGCATTGCACCTCTACGAAGTTAAGGTACCCTTCATACAAACCAATCAATAACGCGAACATCCTTAACAAACTATCCCAGTCTGCTTTACATCAGAAGCAAATACAGAAATACCAATTTAACTACGGGACCTAGTACACACCTTAAAATGACACAAATAAAAATCAGTCGAGAAGGAGTATATAAACTCATTAAAAAACATAAACACAAAGACCAAGCCCAGGTTTAGATAAAATTGCTGTCAAAATACGGAAGGAACACATCGACATAACCTCAAATATATTTACAATCATCTTCAGTAAATATCTAGATTGAACATGCAAAGTGCAATCAGATTGTAACCATGTTTACGTGCCTTTGGTTTTAAAACATGGAGACACATATCATCCTGGAAATTACAGAGCAATATCAACCACTTGCACCTCGTGTAAATTACTTGAACATATACAAGCCAGCAGCATATGATGAAACACCCCACTACAATACTCTATGAACTACAATATGATTTCAGAGCAAAACGATCATGCGAATCACAGGTAATATCTCTTTACACCAGCTACCTCAAAACAATGATAAAAACAAACAAAAAGTGGCCTTATCACACCTTCTGTGAGACTTTCAATTAACACAACCTTTCGGAGTTTTGGGTCCTCAATGCCCTTAAACTTCCTACCTTATTTGACCTTTAAACGTTTTGATGCGAGCATCACGAACGAGTCTCTTGTAGACGAAACGGGCGTCTCGGTAGTGGCGTACAAAATTATAAGCCTAGTATCTTTGAAGAGTTTTTTTTTAAGGTAGCACTACAGTCTAACAATGATTTTTTGAAGATATTTTTTTTATCACATAATTTTGAATTAAGTATTATTCTGCACAGTTTGTAAAAATCCCAAAGTCATTATCATATCACAACAGGGGGTAAATTGATAATGAACTTATGTAAATAAAAGCACATGGTAATTAATCTAAATATATAGGCATTTGGGAGGGGCTAATATGTCAATCATCTGTTGATACTAGTGTCCAGCTGTTAATCCCTGACCACAAGATAAATATTGTGGTCTTACCTCATTGTATTGCAACAAAAGTAATTTATATAACATGTTTATAAACAGAGAAAAAGAAAAAGATATGAAGGAAAAAATCTAAAGGGAAGAAATCTACAAAAAATGAAAACAAATATGGAAAAGAGTGTGAAAGTATCTTTGAAAGCCTCTGACTGCCTGTATAAATTTCTTCTATTTGGTCTTCTACATTTAAATACAGTTTTAGGCATTTTAACCAATTTTAAGTTTATGTGAAATTTTTCAATTCCATAAAACTCAAAAATCATGTGGGAGTGTCTTTTTTTAAAGAAGTGGATGGTCTTGGATCTTTTCATTTACATGTCTTTTGATGCACAATTTTAATGTTCTAGCTTAAATTTCAGTAATAGTATATTTCTTTTTAAAATACAAATGAAATTTATTCTTTATAGTGAGAATAATGATGTTAAATATTGATTATATGCAGCTGGTCAATCCTGTTATTCTCTTATCTTAGACTGTCTGGACAGAGGCGGAGCTTTGTCTATATTTAATTACTACATCACAGATATTGGTCAAATCTGTGACGTCAAACTCCCGCCAAATGCCAAGTTAGTGTTGCACAGTGCCACACATAATGCAAAATTTACAGTATAAGAGCATCAAAGAGACAAAGTGTGTGGTTCTATTGATAAAGTAATGGTGTCAGAATACTCCTGGGGTGTTCCCAGTGGAATTTTTGTATTTATATTGCATTTATAGGGGTTCTAAGGGGGAAATTCCGTTTTTAGGTCATTTCTCAGAACAATTTTTCATGAGATTTGTTAGGAAAAAATGAAAATATAAACTTTATGGATACCCCCTTTGGCTTGACTTTGATATATGTGATTAAAGGGAGTATTTTCTACAATACCGTGTCCCAGTTTTTGGATAATTTGTTTCTAAATGAATTTATAGGTCTCCAAAGATGAGAGGTGAAATGAGGTTTGGCACCCAGCAGTTAAATCAATATATCTTCTTACTGGAGGCATATATCAAAAATCTGAGACACAGTTTTGCAGTTTGTATATGGTTGATTAAAGGGATGAAAACAAATTTTTACTACCATTTGACCTGAATGTGCCATTTCCATCCAAGTTGGAAGACCACTTTTTTGGCAATTAATGAGCTATATTTTGAGATTTATCATACCAAAAATTAATTTATCTATGGATTAAGAAAGAGTAATATTTCAGCTTTAAAATGAGTTAAAGATTTTAAAAATCCATTGAGTAGTTTTGGAGAAATTAATCTTTAAAGACTGTTGGTTGGAGTCAGAAAATTCTGACTGTAGTGCTACCTTAAGAATACGATACCCGTTTTTGTTTGCATTATCCTCCTGTATATTGGATCACTTTTTAAAATAAAATTGTAAAGTTCAATAAAAAGCAAAAACTGAACTTTAGTAACATAAAAGTTAAATAAATAATATAAATACACACACACACACGTATATATGTATATGAGCACCCCAGAGCACCCAATCCTCATTTAGTACTTTGTGGTATACCACAAAGAGAAAATTAATCAGGTATTTAGACAAATCATTTGAAACGAAATGTTCCGAACGAATGATAAGAAAAGCCCGGGAAAGAGAAAAACAAACAAAGACCACGTTTATTCAAAGCTTTCATAGTATGTATCATTTATCATTGGTATTGTCATTTTTATGTAAAGATACACTACACTATTAAGAAAATCTTCAATACATTATGTGTCAAATATAATTATTATACTGCACAGGCACTGGTACCGTATAGGCAGACTTATCGGTCGTCCCACTGTCTATATCACTCTGCTCAGCTCTTTTAAAATAAATTTGCATATCACGGCTTTGTGACGTCAAATACCTTGACCCGGCCTTAATAACTTTGACCCGGACATATCAGCGACGTCATAATGCAGTTCTGCCAACTTTTAATAATGCAAATGCGTGAGATTTGGCCAAAATCGTAAAGATCAAAGAGAAAAAACAATAGATCAATGGAAAATGCCGCCATAAGCATGAAAATGCTTAAGTCACACGCTAAATGCGTGAGACTTGGCAGCCCTTTATGATAATGTTTGAACCGACGTTGATAAGTTTGACCCGAACTTATCAAGTCATCTTCCGGTTTGCTGGTGAAACAAAGAAAACACTTCCTAAATAAGCAAATTCAGCCCGATAAATCAATTATCAGGTTGTCTGCATATTTAGATTGTAAAATATCAGCTGCTCGACACAATATGAAGGCTTTTTGGACTCGTTCGCTGCGCTCACTCGACAAACAGCTTCATATTGTGACTCGCAGCTGATATTTTACAATATCAATATGCAGACAACCTGATAATCATGATAATCGGTACATATATATGTCTCTGGTATAGGCAACCTTCCCCTTTCTTCCGTCAAGGTAACCAACTCATATTTCACAGCTCTGCTTCTTAACAATAATTTTCTATCAACTCCTGATCAAATTTCATGTGGAAGAGGGAGGAGGTCTATGATGCATTTTTGCTATTTTTCCTCTTCCACTATTATTTTTATAATTTTTTTAATTGTTTCTCTTCCCCTTTTAAACAGAGAGGATAGGATGTATTACGTGAATGTCAGTCCTTGTGTCCTAAGCATCCTTTTCTGTAGTTGTATAAAGGTTGAAATACTCCAGACTTCTGACTGGTCCTTATCTATCGGGACTAGAAGCACTATTGAATTTCAACGTTTATGTTTAACTGTAAATACTTTTAGCTAAATATTTTAGTCCATAATTTGATTTCAAGATATATTGAAGTATTTCTGGACCTCCACAATTCGATTTAAGCATATCCTGAAATCGATTTAAGCATATCATAACATGCAAAAGCCCTGATTGTTTTCTGCAGGAAAAAATGCCACTGAAAAGTTTTAAAATAGGCTGAGCAGATCTTTTAAATTGAATACAAGGAAAGAGCTACATGACCTACATGTACTACATGTAATGAATTGAGTGTATATGTACGTAAATGTCTAAAAACTGACTGGACATGACTTGTTAATTTGCTAAGTTTTTACAAATCATTTCAGAGCAACTAGTAGTCATGATTGCAACAGCCATTCTTTTTATAACCCATATGACCCTCTGTACTTATTATAACCCATATGACCCTCTGTACTTATTTAGAACTGCTTCAGCTGATTAGTGTTGACAGCAGGGAGTTCAGTCTTGCAATTCATGATCTATTAACTCTTTCCAGATGTGTTGTTATGAAAATCTGACAACCTTAATGCCCTTCTTGGAGTTAAAAATTTGAAAACTGTGAAAAGTTTTCAAAATCAGTCGGGTGTATTAAAATAAAAAAAAAATAGACTGTAATTGACCATATTTCGGCTTGGGAGGATTCAAAAAGATTTTATTTTTTGTTCTCTGGTTATTATTTCTTATTTGTATGTATATATATGTATACAAATATTCATCCTCTTTCCCAAGGTAAGACAAATATATAAATAAAGATAAAAACAATATATTTAGATGTGTTGAATGGTATTTTAATGTGTTCGGTGTTGTGCAGTGGTGTTTAGTGGTGAAAAGACCTACCATACAGTGAACCACAAATTTTAATGATGCATTTTTACATAGTCCAAGGCAAAAAGAGTTGTCTCCCTTATTACAAAGCTAAGAAAATATTTCAAAACGAAGTAAATATTTAGATCTAGTAACATGGTATATGTCTTAGACTGAATTGTACCATACACACTAATTAGCACCCAAAATGCACATACAATGCTACTATAGATTTGAATTTTTATAGCAGACATAAACATATTACTGTTTCAGCTTTCTGAAAAGTTTTGAACTACTTCTTTAGCATGTTTAGTTTACATTTCATCATGTTCATGATGAAATATTACATGTAGATGAAGTATTTTTAAAAATTAATGTGAAATTTAGTATTAAAGACATACTGGTAAATCCTTGATAGATGTGTCACATCAATTGTCACAAAAAGATTAAGCAACCTTGAGACTTCTGTGAAACATCTGTATACAAAATAAACAAATGTGATAGAAACAAATTAATTTGGTTGATATGTACTTATAATGTACAGTCTTCATGGTGAACTACAAACCAATCTGCACACTTATGCATAAAATTTACAAACCTTTTACAGTATGTTTTATTTTTAAACAAGTTTAATGGGTATTTAAACACTACATGTAGCATGTCAGTCAGGGGTAATACTTATACAAGTCATAGATATAAGAAGGTGTGGTATGAGTGCCAATGAGACAACTCTCCAACCAAGTCAAAATTTATAAAAGTAAACCATTATAGGTCAAAGTACGGTCTTCAACACAGAGCCTTGGCTCACACTGAACAGCAAGCTGTAAAGGGACCCAAAAATTACTAGTGTAAAACCATTCAAACGGGAAAACCAATGGTCTAATCTATATAAAAAACAAGAAACGAGAAAAACTTATGAACCACATCAACAAACGACAACTACTGAACATCAGATTCCTGACTTAGGACAGGTGCATGTTTATTTACTTGAAGATGTAAACTAATATTTACTTGAAATTCATTTTAAGATTTGGACCATCTCTCCTTAATCTTCTTCAAAAATGTACTAATACAAGTATAAAGGAGAAAATCAAACTTTTTAAACTTATATTAAGTCAAAAAAAAAAATGTGAATGTCTAAGGGTCTCTACCGCCAAAACAATTCACCTGTACAAGTAAATAAAAAACACTTGTATAAGTAGTACACCTGACTGCTTGTTGTGTAGGAAATTAAGACAAGTGGTCATGTTTATAGAGGAATTTGTTCTTACAGAAAAAATGTCAAGGAAAATATATTTTGCTGGAAGTATTAGGGCTGGTAGAGATGATGCTGATCTGTATGCCAGACTTATAGAACAGTTGAAACAGTATGGTAAAGTGTTGACAGAGCATGTTGGTAACACTTCAGTCGAAAAAGGTAAATCTAAAGAAGTACAAGACATATAATGAATCTTATTTTTTGTCGAGCCTGCATCATTTTGTCTTGGAAGAGAGACATTTCGATCCGATATTCCATCCTTAGTGTCATCTGCAGTGTCAACATTAAGGTTCAGTTTGTCAAACCTTCATGGAATTTTATGAAACTTGGAGCACACAGAAGATTTTTTTATGATGAAAAGACAGTAACTAGAGCAAGATTTTTAAAAGGGATTTTTTTTTTTATATTTCTGTATTTTACTGATAAATGGATTTTTTTTTGTTTTTTGGTAGTTATCCGTTAGATTCAATCTGGGTTAAAAACCGTTAGACCAATAAATTTGTTAAAGTTATAATTTAGGGGTCCTTCTGATTAATCTGCAGAAGGTATATATACATGTATATGAGCTGGAATTCCACCTCTTTGCACGCATGTGTCATAAATTGTTTCCACTCTTTAACTTTCAATCCCCTTGGAATTGAGTAATGAAACTTGACATAATTATTCACCACTACTAGAAGGTGTTTTGTGTACAAATTAAAAGGAAAAAAGCATAATTATATTGAAAATGATGATTCAAAACTTTGTTAAACTTGGCCACCCCATTCCATATGTGTAAATAAGTATGTGCTCTCTAACTTTATAACCTCTTAGAGTTAAGTGATGAATTAGTTGTGCATCAGTAAAATGTCTGCCTTCTGGTGGTAACGTCTATGTTTAAGTGAAATAACCCTGATTATTTCTATAATAGGCATCACAATTTACATATATTTACTCCAGCAATATCCTCTGTGATGTCTTCCATCACTATACTGTTGTCAAAAAGAAATCGAAACAGAATGATTAAAATTAACATCAGACAAGGTAAAATCTCACAGAATTCTTATAGAATTATAATAATGTATACTCTACACACTAACTATGAATCACACACAATTGTGATGAATACACATTTAATTGCAAGAGTAAGTCAGTTTTGATTGAAAACTGGTCAATAAACACAGGTGGATTAAGGGATCCAGGCCCCTCCTTTATGGAGCTACACATATGGTTAATGCATAGACGTTTTACAAGTCTTACTCCTAACGTTGCCCTACTAGGCATCTGATAGTTAGTTGTCAGACTTTAGCACATTTGATAGATATTTTAAAAAGTTGCATCACCCCATGGAAATAATTTTCTCCTGCCTCATATACATGTGTTTTATTGGATTTGATAATACATTTATTTCTTTCATCTCAATTATATTTTCAAAATCTTGAGGATTATGATGATTGTGTTCCAATAAAAAAATGTTTGGAGAAGAAATACATGTATCTAAGCTTCATGAATATTGTACATTTTTAGGTTTTAAACAGAAATAACATAATAATCTTTTATATGTATGTTAATGCTTTTTTTCAGAAGAGAAAGATTTAAGTGAGAAGGAAATTCATGACAGAGACATGGAATGGTTAAATGAAAGTGACTGTAGGTATTTAGATAGATGATAAAATAAAAGATTATTTGGTATATGGATAAAATGATTAAAGTGACGTACTATGGAAATCTTGTCAAATTTCACAAAAGAAATATAATTTGAGGAGTATGTTTAAAGTTTCTAAGAATGCCATTATGCACCTTGTATTTTGTTTTTTAATCCCAATCATTTTAAGGGGTTTTCGCCCTATTGAATCATGAATTTTGCCATTGCTTTATCTTACATTACACAATTATAAATAAACTCCAAAATCATCTAGTTGTTCTATGGAGGATTTTTCAGATGAAATTAGAGAGACAGCAAGTTCAATAATTTTTTTTTTCAATGAATCTGATCGGGTGAAATTTTTTCTTTTGATGTTTGACATTTTTGTCTCACCTTTGTGTGGAAAGCGAGACATAGGGATTGCTTTTCCAGTGATGGTGGGGGCATCAACAGTTGTTAAGTTTTCTGCTTAAGTTAGTTTGATAGATCATTAATATTTAATATAAATTTGCATTACTATCAGTACATTTCATTTTGACTACTGTTTCGATGCCCTGCCCCCTAAGTCCAGTCAGGTATATAACTCTATAGGGTTATTACAGAAAATAACTTGCATGTGTTATTACAGATACTTTTATGAGTTGTCTACTCTTTAATCCTTAAATTTACTAAATCTGTAATAACATATGTTTGTTATTTGTAAAATAAATCATAAATATTTTTATTTTTAATGGGCTCTAGGGAACACTTGAAACTTTGCGCAGAAACTAAATGCATAGCCTTGATAACTAACTATTAATTTAGATTAACACATTTTTCATTAACCATGGTAAATCAATGAGACAAGGCTTTTAAGTGATTAACTTAGCTGTAATAACAAGGCTTAGTTATTACAGGCATATTTGTTCTGTAATAACATAGGTGTGATATGCATGATTGGCAAACTATGAACTGTAATATCTTTCTATAGTTAAGTATATATAAAGACAGTAGCAATATCAATAGAACTTGTATACATTTTAACAAAACTAATGATGTATATTGTCCCTTTGAAACATGTAACATACATATGTTATCACAGTTCTTTGATTTTTTTGTCCACAATAACAAGCATATGTTATTTTTCTCTAATAACCCTATAGAGTTATATCCTTGACTGAAGTCCTGGTCTAGCAACTTTGAATTAACTAGCAATTTTCAATGTTAAGTTTTCTGCTTAAGTTAGTTCTATAGGATCTACTTGTGATAGATCAAAGATATTTTGTACGAAGTCACATTATTTATCAGTGCATATCAGTTTGAAGACAATTTCAAGGTCCTGGTCCCTTGGACATGGTCCAGTGACTTTGAATTAATAAGCAATTTTCAATGTTAAGTTTTCTGCTTGAGTTAGTTTGATAGGATCTACTTGTGATAGATCAATGATATTTTGTATGAAGTTGCATTACTATCAGTACATATCTGTTTGAAGACTATTTTGAGGCCCTGCCCCCTAGGTCATGGTCCAGTGACTGAATTAATTACAATTGTCAATGTTAAGTTTTCTGCTTATGTCAGTTTGAGAAGAACTTCTTGTGACAGATCAAATATTTTGTATAAAGTTGTATTGCTATCAGTACATCTCAGTTTGTCGACCATTTCTAGGCCCTACCCACAAGATCATGGTCCAGCGACTTTGAACTAATAAGCAATGTTGCTGTCCATCAGATTTTCTTTTTCGGAATTATATGCGGACAGCAGAGACAAATCTCTTGTGTCAACAGTTTATTAGAAATATACACTAAAAGCAGCAATGTATTGATTCTAAGGTATCTTTGTTTGCCATTTATACCTGTATTACTTGTTCCCTTAGTGTTGCAGTGAGTGTAGAATTCGTAATGTTTTAAACCAGTTTAAAATGAATCGAGAGATATTTTGTAATTGCTTCTCCTTCAATAGAGCAATAGGGGATACCTTAGATTTTAAAACAGTCCTTACAGGGAATAAATTATCAAGTGCATAAAGTACAAAAAATATAGATTTAAACAGATAATTTATAGATTAAAAATTCGTAAGGGTTCCGCGGAACCCAGTGTCTCGCCTACTTTTTCTGTTAGTCGCAGGTTTATGAATCTAATAAATGTTTTAAAAACTTTAACTGCAGTATGTAATGTTAACTGGAAGAAAAACTAATTCCATTTATAAGTAATATACGGAAAAACAGGAAATACATTTTTACAAAATTTCCTTCTAGATACTAGCTTTTGGTCATAAACAAGCTTCTGTCCAAGTTTGGTACAAATCCAGGATAGTTTAAGAAAGTTATTAAAATTTTAAAAACCTTAACCACAGAGTGACTGTAATGTTAACTGGCAGAAAAACTAAGTCCATTTATAAGTAAAATACGGAAAAACAGGATTTTTTTTTTACAAAATTTGCTTCTGGATACTATCTTATGATCATAAACAAGCTTCTCTCCAAGCTTGGTACAAATCCAGGATAGTTTAAGAAAGTTATTAAAATTTTAAAAACTTTAACCACAGAGTGCATGTAATGTTAACTGGCAGAAAAACGAAGTCCATTTATAAGTAAAATACGGAAAAACAGGATTTTTTTTTTTACAAAATTTACTTCTGGATACTATCTTATGATCATAAACAAGCTTCTGTCCAAGTTTGGTAGTAATCCAGGATAGTTTAAGAAAGTTATTAAAATTTCAAAAACTTTAACCACAGAGTGAATATTTGTGGACGCCGCCGACGACGATGCCGACGGAATGTAGGATTGCTATGACTCGCTTTTGCGACAAAAGTCGCAGGCTCTACAAAAATTAACCTCAATGAGTAAATAGCATATCTCTGTGTAATACTTTTAACTGGGAGTCAGATCAGACCTTGTTTAGTATAATGTTATATTCACTGAGATGTGAAAGAGAACAGCATTATACCCCATTTAAAGAATTAAAAAGTTTACAAAATTGACAAAATGTGTAATATTTTTAACTGGGAGTCAGATCAGACCTTGTTTAGTAAAATGTTATATTCACTGAGATGTGAAAGAGAACAGCATTATACCCCATTTAAAAAATTAAAAAGTTTTACACAGGAGGTACAAAATTGACAAAATGTTCTTTCTATTTTTACAGATTTAGTAGCCGAAGTAACACAACCTTCCCTTGGTGTAGGGTATGAAATAGGAAGGGCAGTAGATTTGAAGAAAACCATACTTTGTCTATTCAGACCACAAACAGGCAAAAGTAAATTATTTCCTCTTATACTGTAAATTTAGAAATTTTTGCATTGTCTTTATTATTGTGAACATTGCTATAGAATAGGTTTTGCCAAAAAAGTCACATTTTTGATTTTGATATTATGGTATATTTGGCAAACACTAATCTTGCATTTTCTTCCATTGTTGAAAAATCACAATACTAAATGCACACAAAAAATTCTGAATTTAGAGTATTAATTCTTTATTACTGTTTACATCTACAAATACAACATTAACTAGATATTCATATTACATTTATACATGATTATGTAAATGATTTACATGACAATATTCAGGAGTGTGTCTACTTATTTAAATCTAACACTAAAGCCTTACACATTAAACAAAGCTTATTACAAAAAATCCAGATAAAGTAAGTGATACTTAACCCAAAAACCTTGGCTACATCATCATTAACTTGAAAATAAGGAGATGTGGTATGATTGCCGTTGCAGACAACAATCCAGCAGAGACCAAATGACAAGGATGTTAATACTTTTAAGTCACCATATGACCTTCAATAATGAGCAAACCAATACCATATAATAAGCTATTAAAGGTCCAGGCACTGTGTGTTTGTATATTGATCTTATTGGACATTTTACGTAATATATTTAAGAGACATTAAGGAAACTGTTTAAAAAACATAGAATGTGTTCATAATCAATTTTATAAGGAATTTTCATTATTATGAAAATAAAATTTTCTTTAGTATAGTTTAATTATTATTTTATATATATTTCAGGATTATCTGCAATGATTCGGGGTGCAGAGAATGGATCAACATTTATAGTTAAAGACTATAAAGAAACAGAAGCACCATCAATTTTTAAAGAGTTTTTTAAAGAAGAATTATAAAAAGTTTTTTATCTAACGGTTATTTCTTGTTCTGTTCAATTATCTATATTTAGATCACAACACCAAAGGAATATATTATTCTCCCAGAAAAAAATAGTTAAGCGCATATGGATGTTGCTTTGCCTGTCGGGCCTTCATCCATGTGTTCTTTTAAATAAATGGTTCAAGATGATATATTGAGTTTCCCTTGGTTAAAACTTATACAGATAGAAGATATAGGAAAGAAGAACAAACCTTTTGATACTAGAATTGATTATTTTCTATCAAATTCATTCCAGATTAATTTAATATCCTCAATATCCTGGTTTAATTCAAACAAATTTTAAACCAATGGAAGATAAAGTAAAGAGGGAAAAGAGTCTGCTAGGTTTTTAGTCACTAGGTTAAAATTAGAAATTGGTTCCCGAATGAGAATTTCGATTTAAATGAAACTTGTGTAGATAAAAGATATAAGGGTTGAGAAGGATCCCAATTTAGTTTTAGGTGGCCGAGTTAAATGAAACTTGTGTAGATAAAAGATATAAGGGTTGAGAAGGACCCCAATTAAGTTTTAGGTGGCCGAGTGGTATAAGTTGTTCATTTACAGTGATCACTAGTCTGTTAAACAAGCAACAATCAATCAATCTATATTAACACACACAGATTTTTGCTAAAGTGATTGTCAATTAACATATCATCGTTGTTACAAAGTACATAATTAAAACATTGCCTTTATTTGTTAGAAAAGGCATAATGATGGGCCAAACATCACTATGCTTTTGGCTGCAAATATATCTGTTAATTAAGTAATTTATGGTTGACTATGTCCTTATTTGAATAATATTATTTCTTTGCACTCTATGCCTTTCCCAATTTTCAACGAATTTACTTAACTGTATTTGTTCTTTTTGGTCAATCAGGTTAAGTTTGCTTATACAAGGTCATGTATGAAACACTTTTGCTTTTATTGCTGGTCACTTCTATATGTTTTAAAAACAAGATACAAAAGATGCCAAAGGGAAAATAAAAAATCATAAGTCGATGAAAAACCAACAATAACAATAATACCAGTTGAAAATGAAAAACAAATAGAAGACAAAACAACAGTCAACAAAACAAATACTACACAGAAAACTATAAACTGAATGGTATGACTTCAATTTTACTTCTCAGAACCTTTGGTACAATAGGTTCCTTGTAAGCAGCAAAATCCCCCTTCTGGAAACGTAAGCTCTAGAATATTGAATCAGCTTGGAGATATACTGAAATCATCACTTTGTGGTAAAGCTTAGTTCTCAATGTCAATATTTACTTTATCCTGTGTAATAGAAATATTCATCATACTCCCCAAACATTGAATTAATTAGTAAGAGGACATCACTGATAAAGTGGAACATGAAGTTATATGATATTGCTAGCTTCTTTTCATTCTTCCTGAGAAGCAACTGTATAGGTCTGCCTCATATGAATGAAGGAACAAGCGACAAAAAGGGGAGCACAGTTGTCTCCTTTTGAAATGCCGAAGTTCTATTGTAAAACTTGTCCTATTGTCTATTATCCTTCAATTACTACAAAAATGTTAATGATAAAAAGAATTTCATATCTTGTCTGTTTCATGCAATTATTTTTACAAAGCATGAGTTATCCCTTCCTTGAACAAGATATATATCTTAAATGTCTTTTTATCAATATTGCCATACTGTTTAACTTTTAGATTAACTGTTTACAAAATTTTGAATTGTTCGAAAGACTTAGGATTTTCTTCCCCAGGATTAAATTACCTTTGCTGTTTTTGGCAATACCTTTCGGAATTTTTGGCACTTCATACTTTTTTCAATTTGGCCTTTTAACTTATTTGATTCGTGTGTCAGTGATGAGGCTTTTGTAGACGAAACATGCACGTGGTGTACAAAATTATAAGCCTGGTAACTTTAATCAGTCTTTTAATAGACAATACATATGCTTTCATTCGAAATAGAAATTTTGTTTCCGAAAATAGATGAACAACTATGTATTTAATGAAACTGTTTGATATTTAAATAGGGAGTATATTGAGAGTTGTTTTCTACCAGAAGTTATTCTTCAAATATGCTGCTTTCTTTTTAATTTCCAGTAATGTATAAACCAGATCTAAAAGTTTGACGCATTGTTCAAATAGCAAATCTGTTTTCTGTTCATTAATGCAACTAATATCGAAATATTGTTCCCAAAATTTTGGTAAAATGCAAGAGTTAACTGATGGTGATGTAGATTTGATAAGAGCAAATGTTCAAATCTCGCATGGACGCGAGAAGGAGAGAGACGTGATAAATTCGAGACAACAGTAGTTGACCGATGTTCAAATCTCTTAAATCCATTAAGGATTAAATTAAGGTAAAAGAAATATGTGGATATCGCATGAACTCTAAAGGGAGCGAAACTTGATGCGTGGAAGGAAAGCGTCTTATGCTATACATGCATCACCCGCCATAATAATGGGTAAACATTTCACAATCGGTAAATTTACAACAGCTCGGAGAAAAGGCTAGCATTATCCTTTTAACTTCACGTTTCTCTATATAAAAAGTTCATTGACTTTATTGAACGCATCTAGCATCTGATCTGATTTACTATACACGAAAATCAAAAATGGCAGACAGCTATCAACAAAACAATGAATTACAGGCTACTGACTTGGAACGGGCATATTAAGAATGAGGCGTAGTTAAATGGGGTTGTAGGCACCAACCTTGTAACAGCACAACACAAGGACACATTGTAAAAATCAGCTTGAAAAGGCATGTAAAATCAGGTCGACACGAATTTCGAAGAAAGCTTTCAAATAAACGGAACTCCCCCCCCCCCCCCCCCAAAAAAAGAAAAAAAAAACAGAAGGAAAAGAATGTCAACATTGAAAGTGAAACAAGGGTAAACCATTTGATTGACTGATTCGATCCACAGAAACTCATTCTTATACAGGTAAAAACAATGATAAACATATATTTTAACCTATTATATGAAATCAAACAGTCCTAGAAAAATCAAATTGCACGAGCTCGCTATCTATTTATATCTATATTAATGTTTATATCTGGTTATATGACCTCGATGGTTAATAAGATGGCGTTGAGACTAATATACACACGAAATGTTGATACATGTTACCGAGCCCATGCATTGTAAATTGTTTATTTTAGACTTTTTTAATTTGGATATACTTTTTAGTATGTTATAAATCAAATATGAGAATTTGAGTTCAATCGGTGAACATTAATTTGACAGCTAATGCCCATTTGAATGAATCATTTTTGAAAATAGGGTCTATCGTAAAATTGTCATTTGTTGGTCCATTCACAGTTTGTGTATATTGCAGCTGTACCGTTAAAGTTTAAAGCTGTTTGTTGGATGCTATTTGATTCTAATCAACATTAAAATCTCAAATGAATAATATACTTTTGTCACATGTATATGTTTATTTTGCGCATACAGTAACTCTTTTATTGTTTTAGTTTACCCACTGCAGATCACATACTTAGATACGATTGATACATTAATCCATCTGTTGGAATAAGATTTACAGTTTTTTATTATAAAACGCATCAGCAGCCTCAAGTGTATTGTGCAATTGTTTTGTTTGTTCTATGTTGTTCCTGAAACCCTTGAATTAATTAAATTGGAAGAAGCAGAAGCAAGTAATGTGTCAAGGTCTAAAATAACATGTACATTATTACTGTTTATCTGATTGATTCTTGTATTGATAGAGTTTACTTTGTCATTTTTGCAGAACAAATTAAATGTGGAGCATTCCATTGCTATATTGTGAAATTTGTATCCATGTTCGATTCCCCCCAAAACATATGGTGTGGTTGCCTTTTACATGACAATTTTAAATTGGAACTTACTGAATACAGCTATCGCTGAGATTATGTCGAAAACCTAATTCAATTGTGTGCCTTCCAATAGGCGCTGGTGAACTGCTCCAGATGCGCATTTTGACAATAAATGTCTCTTCAGTGATACCGAAGCGATGACTACAGATCTGATGATACCACCGTCCACCACCAGCAGCAGTATCGATATAGTGCTAGTAAACGAAAATAGCACTTTATAAGTTTCGAAACTGTTTTCTGGATTTACTTTTAACATGAACAATAAAACCCAAATATTTGAAAGGTACGAATATGCAAATATCTAAAACGTGAAATCTGCTATAACTGAAAAAAGTCAAAAAGTATAGCCGAAATCAGACAAGGAATCGGAGCTATCCACGAGGGAGATATAGTCTTTACTTTAAAATGATTTCTAAGATTTATAACCGCAAATTTCAATAAAACGCGTTTCATTCCAGTACTTACTTAGCTACTGGGTTGGTGATACCCTCGGAGACTAACAGTTGTTGTATAAATTTAGCTGCCGCATGCACTAACTCATTACGAATATTAAAACAATATACTAATACTGTAATCTTCACTCAAATGTTATCCAGGAAAATTCATTTTATTCATCGTAGATACTGGTGCTATTTTTTCTTTTATTCATATGAAGTTGGCAAGTATTGCATATCCATACTGAATCATCAATATTTAAAATATGAGGACGTTGTTCAAATATTTCATTACGTGTGTTCTTGCAGAAAGATATGAATGTTTTACAACATTTTTATATCACAGAAGTTCGTATCTTGTATAAACATTTTTAGGCATTGCAGTGACATCTAAAATTGAAGAAATTTTTTTTGGAAACATAGATATCAAAATTTGTTGTAGTGGTACCAAATAGCTTATAATCATCTAATCTTAGATAGACCCAATGATACACTTTTCCCCTTATATCATTTGTTTTTATTATAGTTTTGTGATCAACAAAGCTTCGTAGTAGTCAAATGCTTAAAAGTCCCAATATCTAATTTTATACCATGAAAATAACAGTTTATAAATTAGTTTTTTTCTGGATTTACCTTCATCAGGAATGATCAAAGCGAAACAATGTGAAAGCCAAAGATGTATATGTACTTGAAACGTGGGAAGCTATATGACCAAAATATCCACTTCATATCTATATTGTACTATACTAACCTTGTTTATAGAGTCGGACAATTGATTTGATGAGTTTTAGAAAAATAGATACTCCCATATGTGTAGCAAGAACAATATTCTTGAACAGTATTTTCCAAAAGTGTCCCAATTTGTTTAATCTAAACCTCCAAAATGTATTAATTTGGACGATGACTAATGAAGAAATAGTAAACGATGGTATTTAAATTGTTTCGATTTGACAAATACTGTATCACATTAAAAGTTAAAATACTGCTATATATCATCTCTCATGTAGAATTAAACTTCTTCCCATTCCAGTGTTCCTCGTTAATACAATTTTTAGATATATTGACAGATTTTGCACTAACTGTTTCTGTTGACAGACTATTCCTTTGATCAATGATGAATGTAGACGTTGAGTTGAATTACACCTCTTTTTAATTAATTTTCAAGGATGCCCTCTAGTAGAATTAATAGTTTGTATCATTTATCATTGGTGTAACGATACTTTATTAAGAAAATATTTAATTATATTACATGTGAAATTTTTCAGGACCTTCATTTTTCGAATTTAGGATTGCCAGTATTCTATGGTAAAATCTCTATACCCTCTGGATATGTAGGGGTAATCGTCAACAGTTGGACCTCCAGTGTCTGCAATTGAATACACTGTCACTCATCCGTCAGGATTGGCAACAATCTTGGCCACACTTAACTGTTAACTGGGTGTAGATAAAATCTAGATGGGCTACACAATCTAGCGAAATCGCACATCCGTCTTAAAGATTGATAAGCATCCTTGCTTACATCACAGAAAGATGGCAGCTTAATATTCTATTGAGTAAAACCCAAAAAGCTGGGAAACCATACAATCTGGACTACAGATCCATCTGGCCAGTTGCCTGGCAACTTCTCTCTTTTTAAGATGAAATTTATCAGTACCAAGTTCCCATGGGATGAAATCAAATAACAGGAACAGATAATATCGGACTATGTGATTTCTCAGCTTGCAGTCCACTTTCCAACACCCTTTCACTGGACAATGGGGAGTCACGCTTGACCAACAATACCTTGACGCTGTGATTTTTTTCCTTACAGTTCTGCCAGTAGCTATTGGATCTACATGTTCTTCCTCAATGTCATTTAACTGGACAGGTTCCTCTTGATAAGGAAATACCTGAGCTGGCTTGTGGCGTTCAGTCTATAATCTGATCCTTCTCAATAGTTTTTCCTGCGTTCCCTGCTGGATAGGGCCTCCTTTTCTTATCTTCCCCAATTTTCCAGGGTCTTTACAAATAACCTCATTAACCATCCCCACCCCTCCCCATTCAATAAGATTTCAAATTAGTGTAGTACTACTATTTATCGAATCACTTTACTACAGTACGGACACACACTCATCAGCCTCTACTTTTGTTAATTGTACGCATGTCAAGTAAAACCAGTCATTTAATATACTATACTTTACCATTATCTCTCCAGTGTCTGAACCCTGACAAATAAATATTTCTTCACTTTACTGGACTTACCTGTTGAGGCTTGTAAAGTATCTTCACCCTGAAATACGCATTTCCCACAATCGGACGGCGAGGCCAGAATACTACGGTCACGACAAGTTTTATGTCTATCATGGTTGGTGTTAAAAACTACATGTTTGTGTTTAACTAGATAGATATACCCGGTTAGCCTCTTAATAATGATACCCGGAACTTTCCATGGGGGACTTAGCTTTTTGTTCTCGCCCTTAACTTGTGCTGTATCTTATATAAAAACCAGATATACCTCTGTGTATTGATTTAACTATACTCACAGGTCATAATGAATTTTCGTGCGAGCTTGGGTAATTTTGAATTTTTTCCTATCTATTTCATTTGACCTTCGAATGACTCTCATCATTCCAAATACATATTCATCACTTCCAGAGTTTCTTGAACTACCAATCAAATCAGTAGGCTGATAGGTCTCACGACCTAACATGAATCTAATCAGTGTTAAGCCAGTACTCCTGTTCAAACAGGAACGCATAGCTCCTGCTAACTGTGGCATAATATGTATGTTTTAGTTATCCTGTGATGAACTTTCAATGCATCAAACTGAATTCATCAAGCTACTACTAGCGTTTTGTCGCTCAACTTGTCTGTTTGCAGAGGGACGATATGGTGCTGTTCTTGCTTTAAGTATAGGCAAACATTTGCACACTGCCTTGAACAACGAACTTTTGGAATTTCTTCTTTGGTCAGTAAAATTAGTTCATTGCTGCTTGTTACTTCTGCTGTTTGAGAGGGAGTGGTATGTATTCTGTCCACTTAGTAAACCTGTCAATAATCATGAGTACAATTTGCGAATTTCTTTTGACATGTTGTACCAGTGAAATTTTAGTTTAGCCTTGACCATGGTTCTTTCTGTTCTTTGGTGTCCTGCAGCTTGTAAATCAAAGCTGCATAACTGTCTCTCGTAATGTGATTAGAACTACCAGACGTTTATGTAAGTACTCTTTCTTGAATGGTCTAACATCTACTAAATTTGTTAGATGTACACTTGCATATAGTTCCTTTGTTTATCCCAATTTATAAAATATTACTACTTATGAAATACTGTGAATAAATTTAAGCAGTTGATAGAATTATTAAAGTATTGAATCAGTGTCTTGTGCTTGTTGAGCACTTGAATAAAATTTGGTACAACCTGTATAATAGAAAAACAAAGGATATGGGGTATCCATCCATGACACAAAATCAGTACATGCACAGCAAAAAAACACACAAATACTATTTATGCCCCCGGCGTAGCGGAAGGGGCATTAAGTTTTACCCTTGTCTGTCTGTATGTCTGTCCGTCCGTACGTACGTTTGTCCGTATGTCCCAAAATTGGTTTCCGTTCTCTAACTTTACTTTGCCTCAACCAAATGTTATGAAACTTATACACAATGCTTATTACTACGAAACATAGATCGAGTTTGAATTTTGGTGGCGTCACTTTTACCGTTCTAGAGTTATGCCCCTTTACATATGAAAAAGTTGCTGATTTTTTTGTTTCCGTTCTCTAACTTAAGTTTGCCTCAACCAAATGTTATGAAACTTATCCACAATGTTTATTACCACAAAACACAGATCAGGTTTGAATTTTGGTGGTGTCACTTTCACTGTTCTAAAGTTATGTTCCTTTACAAATGGAAAAATTGCTGAAATATTAGTTTTTGTTCTCTAACTTTAGTTTGCCTCAACCAAATGTTATGAAACTTATGCACAATGCTTATTACCACAAAACACAGATAAAGATTGAATTTTGGTGGCGTCACTTTTACTGTTCTAGAATTATGCCCTTTTAAAAATTGAAAAATTGCTGAATTTTTCTTTTCTGTTCTCTAATTTAAGTTTACGTCAACTAAATGTTATGAAACTTATAAACAATACTTATTACTACAAAACTCAGATCAAGTTCAAATTTGGGTAGTGTCACTTTTACAGTTCTTGAGTTATGGCCCTTCATAACGTTGTATGCAAGCGGGGGCATCATCTGTGTCCCATGGACAAATTCCCCATTTATTTTTCTATTCTTTCCTACGGCAAGTAATAGTACGGATACAATATCAATATAATTAACAACTCATTAATTGGAATCGCCTACACTTTAAAGTCAATTTTAATTGACCTCAGCTTACCTGTTGTAATACAGAATTGAATAGACACTTCATTATACAACTCAATACACACCTTGATACACAAATCTTGACCCCAATAGTATACCTATAATATAACGTCTGATCTAAAGTTAATTGATTGATTGTTGGTTGCTTAACGTCCAGTGGCAAATGTTTCATCTAAAGTTAATTAAATTATTCTGTAAATTACGTATCAATGATGAATGCTGAAGGATTAATAAGATGTATTTGTTTCAAAGAAAAGACAAAAAATGAACTTTGTATAAGAAAATGCAAGAAGGGTCTATTTTTCTTGTACAATCAGTTTCACAATCATCCGATATTATTAATTACTTAATATTTTGTTGTTGTTAAAAAAGTGAATTTTAATGACTCTTTCTTGAAAATTTATTTTTGTATAGAAAATTAAACCATTTAGTCATATTAATAGAGAAACCAAATTTCAAATTTTATTTGTGGCATCTATGATGAGTTTATTACTATCTACTACACCTGTTTTGCTGCTGTTTTTGTTATATTTATTCACAGTTTTGGTTGCTGGGTCCCAATTATTGTCACATTAACCTAGTATGTCTGTTTGGGTTGCTTAACCAATTTTGTCAATATAACGGAACTATAAACAACTGTCATACAAGTGGGAGGTTTAGCAAGCTATTAAACCAGGTTTAATCCACCATTTTCTTCGGAAAATGCCTGTACCAAGTCACGTTTGGTTTTTTCAGTTGTTTTATACTTCCCCGTTTTGAATTTGCCTTGGAGTTCGGTATTTTGGTTATACTTTGTTCAATTTATTGATGTTAAATTTGTTTTTACAGAAACAATGTCAAGGAAAATATATTTTGCTGGAAGCATTAGTGGTGGTAGAGATGACGCTGATCTGCACGCCAGAATTATCGAACAGTTGAAACAGTATGGTAAAGTGTTGACAGAGCATGTTGGTAACACTACAGTTGAAAAAGGTAAATCTGCTAAAGGTGTGCAATACTTGTAATGAACCTTTTTTGTCGAGCTTGCAATATTTTCTTGTGAAAGCGAGTCATAATGATCCTTCATTCTGACCTCCGTCGGTGGTGTCAACATTTAGTTTAAGTTTGTGGTTAAATCTGTTTTAGATTGATCGATTGATTGATTGGTGTTTAACACCACTTTCAGCACTATTTTTCAATTTCGTAGCAATCATCTTTTATTGGTGAAGGAAGCCGGACTGCAAAGAGAGAATCACACCTTCCTTCGGTAGGAAAACTGACAATCTTAGTTAATAAAGATTGGAGTCGAGTACACCTTCCAATTGCGAGATTCGAACTCACAACCTCAGTGTTGACAGGCTAGTGATACAGTAGTTCGACTACTTAGACCACTTGGCCACCGAGGCCCGCATTTTTGTTTATACATTTTCGATTTTTTTTTTGTCAAGTTTTGAATTTTATGAAACATGGACAGAAGTTACCCCTTAGCTGGAGATGGGTTAAGGAAAAGAATGTCAACATTGAAAATGAAACAAGGATGAACCATTTGGTTGACAGATTCGATCCACAAAAAATCATTCGTATACAGGTTAAAACGATGATAAACGTACTTTTAACCTACAATATGAAAACAAACAGACCTAGAAAAATCCAATTACAGGTGGTCGCTATCTGTTAATATATTTATTTATGTTTATATCGGGTTATATGACCGTCTGCAGTCTTCGGAGGTCTTCTTAATGGTTAATTAGATGACATCTTAGACAAAAATACACACGAAATGTTGATATATATTGTCGAGACCATGCATTTTTAATTGTCTATTTTAGACTTTTTGTAATTTGGATATACGTTTTAGTATGTTATAAATCAAGTATAAGAATTTGAGTCAAATCGGTGAACATTAATTTGACAGCTAATGCCCCTTTAATGGAATGTTACGAAACTTAGACGGAAGCTTTTTTTTTATAAGATCAAGAAATAGCATCTGAAGAAAAAAATCGATTAAAAAATGCATTTTACTGATAAATGAACTAAGTATTTGGCTTTTAATAATACACTTTTACACTGACAGCAGCAATAACAGGCAATCAATAATGCTTATACAAGTCATATTTATTTACTTGAAGATGTTATTAATATTTACTTGTAGAAGTAAATTTGTTAGATTTTAATTTTCATTTTAAGATTTGAGTATTCTCCCTTAATCTTTTCCAAGTAATTAGTTTTACAACACCCTAAATTCTCAAATGTTGGTAGGTCAAAACATGCCTATTTAATTTTTTTCATGTCAGCTCATATTTTTTTTACATAAGATTCAACCTTATTAGTCCTTTTATCTAAAGAGCTAAACAGAAATCTTCTGGGCTCAGATCTAAAGTAACTTCGCAAGGCCTTCAAATTTTGCTCCCTGGAGGCTTGTAAATGAGCAGTGTTTTGAAGATAACAGACAAATGGGATTTTCATTATCCATGAACTCAAAAATTTATGAATAGTAAAGACAACTATTAATGACTGATAATTAAAAAATGAAAACAACACAATTTCATGCCTCCGAAACGCTTTCCTGGATTTACCTTCATCAAGAAAGCTCAAAGCCGAATATTTAAAAGCCAAGGATGTATAACAACCGAAACAGTTGAAGAGCTATATGAACAAAAAGGACCTGAAAAGTAGCAAATTTCATTTGAAGTCAACTTTGCCTGAGGGAGTCGTAACCTTAGTTTCATTATAATTAAAAAAGATATAAAAATGTAAATACTCATTTACTTCAATGTAGTCAAAATAAAATCACGAAAAGAATAAAATATGATTTTTTTGGTTATATAAGTAAATAACAATATGAATGTCTAAGTGATAAAATTCCTAAGTAATTCATCTGTAGACGTAAATAAAAAAAATACACATTTTATCGCAAGAATATGTCAGTTGGCTGACTACTACGATTTACATTGATTCAGATTTGCAATAAACCGAAGCGAATGTTGCGTTTGGATTATGGAACCACATATATTATTATAGCATAGACTTTTTACAAGTCCCAGTCGTAACGTTGTCTTGGTGCCATCCCACTTTTTTTTTCGAAATAACAACTGATGAACTTATTGTGTAGGAAACTTATTTGTAGTATTTCGGATTTTTGCACGTTGGAAAGATATCTCAAAAGATTGTATCTCATATATATCTCATATAAATGTATGTTTCATTGAATTTGACAAGACAAAATATATTTCTTTCATCTCAATAATATTTTCAATATCTAGAAAAATATGATGATTGTGTTCCAATAGAAAAATGTTTAGAGAAGAAATATCAAAGCTTCATGAATAAATTCAGATTTTTTAACCAGTAACATAACGTAATAATCTTTTATCTTAATGCTTATTTTTTAGATAGAAATGATTTAAGTGATCAGGAAATTCATGACAGAGATATGGAATGGTTAAATGAAAGTGACTGTAGGTATATAGATAGAAGATAAGATAAAAGGTTAATTATTATAAGTATTATTTTCATATTGAAGTGATGTCATAAGTGGGGTTCTGCCAAATTTCACAAAAAGAAAAAAGAAAAAAATGTTTATAGGAATATGTTGAAACTTTCTAAGAATCTTCACTATAAGAAGTTCTTGTTGCTTCCAATACGTTGTCAGTTTAATTCGACTTATGAATTTGAATGTCCCTTTGGTATCTTTCGCCTTTCTTTTTTTTAAGAATCTTCACTATAATATTCATATATATGTTGTAGGCCTACACCTCACATTTTGTCGTTTGATCTAAATGATCTTTCGGATTTCTGTGAGCAAATCATAGACTATATGCCATTGCTTTATGTTGGGGCGGGGGTTTATCATGTTTTCCTCGAATGTGACCTACCGACTTTTCACCGGGTTTATACTTACATGAGCAACACGACGGGTGTCATAGTGGAGTAGGATCTGCTTACCCTCATTGGGCACATAAGATCCCCCCGGTTTTTGGTGGGGTTGTGTTGCTTAGTCTTTAGTTTACTATGTTGTGTTTTGTGTACTGCTGTTTGTCTTTGGTCGTTTTTTGCCATGGAATTGCCAGTTTGTTTTCGATGTTATGTGTTTGAATATCCCTTTATTATCTTTTTCCTCTCTTTTGTAAGCCTTGGTTGCAGTACCACACGTTTCTCAACAGGTTGATTTCAAATAACTGCTGAGGGATTGATATAAATACTTATACTATATTGTTTTGCCTTTAAAATTATGTTAAACGTTATAAAGCCATGCCAAATAAATCTATTTCTGCAGATCTTTTAGAATTCAAACAAGAGGCTCTCAAGAGCCTGAATCGCTCACCTGTAATTTTTTGCTTAAATCTTTCATCAATGATTATTTTTGCTTTTCAATATATATTAATGAATGTCTTAAAAAACTTCCATTGAAATGTTCTTTGTATCTGTCATATTTTCTTCAAAATCAAAGAAATGCATTTTACCCCTATGTTTCATTTTTGCCATAGTGGCTATGTTTCTTGACGTACAAGAAAATGAAATACAAAATTTATACTAAATACTCTGTAACTCATTCAGCCCAAGTTTGGCTGAAATTGATTTAGCAGTTTCAAAGGAGAAGATTTTTTAAAAATATATGAACGAATTGTGAAGAATTGATTTTAAAGGGCAATAACTCCTTAAGGGGACAATTGACAATTTTTGTCATGCGAACTTATTTGTAGATCTTACTTTGCTGAACATTTTTGCTGTTTACAGTTTATCTTTATCATTAATAATATTCAAGATAATAAGCAAAATCTGCAAAATTTCCTTAAAATTACCAATTAAGTGGCAGCAATCCAACAATGGGTTGTTAGATTCATCTGAAAATTTCAGGGCTGACAGAGCTTGGCCTAATTAACATTTTTACCTCCATCAGATTAGCTCTAAATGGTTTGGTTTTTGAGATATAAGCCAAATTTTTTACCTTGCTTAACATTTTTGCTGTCACATTTTATCTTTATCATTAATAATATTCAAGATGATAACCAAAAACTGCAAAATTTCCTTAAAATTACCACTTTAGTGGCAGCAACCCAATAATGGGTTATCAGATTCAACTGAAAATTTCAGGGCTGATAGAACTTCACCTAATGAACACTTTAACCTCATGCCAGATTTGCTCTAAATGCTTTGGTTTTTGAGATATTAGCCAAAAACTGCATTTTACCCCTATATTCTTTTTTTAGCCATGGCGGCCATGTTTTTTGACGAAACAGAAAATATAACACATACTTTATTTTAGATACCCTAAGCATCATTCAGCTTAAGTTTGGTTGGAATTGGTTCAGTAGTTTCAGAGGAGAAGATGTTTGACGGACGACGACAGACGACGACGGACGCCAAGTGATGGCAAAAGCTCACAGTTCCTTCGGAACGGTGAGCAAAAAAGGGGAGACGAAAAAAACCATTTTAAAATGAATCATATAATGAGATTTTTCGGAATTGCTTATCCTCAAATAGAGCATTAGTGGATTTTTGTTGGTCAGGATCGAAAGGACCGCCAGTTTTCGGGAACACTGACAGGGAACAAATTATCATGTGCACAAGTACAAAACATATCGCATTAAAAAATATATTTACATTGAAAATTAAGCTCAAAGAGTAAATACATGTAGCATACAACTCCCTCTCTATGTGTCATATTGTTAGATTAAGAGTTACATCAGATCTTGATTAGTTAAATGTTATATTCACAGAGATGTGAAAGAGAACAGCATTTAACACCATTTAAAGAATTAAAAAGTTTTGCACAGGAGATATTACATTGACAAAATATTCTTTCTATTTTTGTAGATTTTGTACTGAAGTCTCACAACCTTCTCTAGGTGTAGGGTATGAAATAGGAAGGGCAGTAGATTTGAAGAAAACCATCCTTTGTCTCTTCAGAACACAGTCAGGAAAAGGTAAATTACTTACCGTTTATATTCATTCTTTATTATTGTTTTTATCTAAAGATACAACATTAACTAGATATTCAAATAATCTTATAAATCCAATGTAAACGATTTACATATTAACGTATAAGAGTGTTTCAATAGAACTTTCGAATAATGTCCTTCACCGGAAAAGTCCGTCAATTATGCGAGCCTTTATGACATCATTTACCAGATAGAGGGGTTCGCCTGTATTCCTGCACTATTAAAATTCACCAAGCGTCTTCGTGATCGTTATTATGTAGGAAAAACCAGAAACAATGTTTGTTCCGTAGGTACTTAATCACAATTCCCTAATGACAGCAGTGCTGATTATCAATTATAAGAATTTGATTTGCCGAATAATTCGTGCAGTATAGCATCATATCTTTTCAATCGCTCACTCAACACGGGAAGGAAGTGACGATGCTCCTAAAAACATAAATGAAGTTCACTAAAACCAAAGGTTGGACGGAAATGCAACGAACTTGAAAGTGGTCTATTAAATCCTAACACTAAAATGTCATTCACTGAACAAAACACATTACAAAATATCCGTAAAAACTCTGCTATATTAAAATAAGGAGATGAGGTATAGTTGCCAATGAGACAACCATCCACCAGAAACCAAAGAACCAGAATCTAAGCAATTATAGTCACTGAACAACCTTCAACAATGGTAAAAACTCATACAGTATAGTCAGCTATAAAAGGTTCAGACACGGTGTGTATGTATGTTGATCGTATTGGACATTTTAGCTCTATAGTTAAGTGACACAAAGAAACTGTCAAAAAGCTTAGAATGTAGTCTGCATAATTAAGAAAATAAAAACTCCTTAAGTATAGTTTACTTATCATTTTTATATATATAACAGGATTGTCTGCAAGATTCGTGGGGCTGAGAACAGATCAACATTTATAGTTAAAGACTATAAAGAATCAGAAGCACCTTTAATTTTTAAAGAGTTTTAAAAAAAAATATTATACAACGTTTTTATCTAACGGTAGTTTCTTGTTCTGTTCAATTATCTGTACTAGTAATTAGATCACATCACCAAAGGAATATATTATTCTCCTAGAAAAAAAATAGTTAGGGGCATATATATGTTGCTTTGTCTGTTTGTGTGTCCGTCTGTATATCCTTCTATCCATGTGTTCAAAATAAATGGCTTCATTCTTGAAATTCTCTGAAATCTTGAGTTTCCCTAAGTTAACTGGAACAAAATTTATACACATGGAAGATATATCGAAAAGTATTTTAAGAAACCTTTTGTTCATTAAACAAAGTCATTCCAGATTAAAGAAATCTTTGATTTCTCCAAGTATTTTTGGAACAAATTTTAAACCAATGGAAAATATAGGAAAGGGAAGTCTTTTGAATTTTGGGGCACTATGTTGAAGTTTAAAATTGTAGATAGAAAATATAGGGATTGAGAAGAACCCTATTACGTTTATGGTGATTAAGTGGTTTAAATAGTTCATTAACAATGATCACTTGAGCCTGTTAACACTGAGGTTACTAGTTTGATCTCCGCTCATGGCAAGTTCCTTCAACTCTGATCTTGTTTGGCTAGGATTTTTAGTTTTCGTTCTGCAGGTCTCTGATTCTCTGGGCTTCCTACAACAATAAAAGCTTACTGCCATGATATAACCAAGAGCGCTAAAAATGGCGTAAAACACCAACAATCAATAAATCAATCAATCAATTTTCAGGTCAAAGTTCAATGTCGCTATTTCTCAATAAAAGAGAAGCGAAAGATACCAGAGGGACAGTCAAACTCATAATTCGAAAATAAACAAACAACGTCATGGCTAAATAAGAAGAAGACAAACAGACAAACAATAGTACACAATACACATCATAGAAAACTAAAAATTGAGCAACACGATCCCCACCAAACACTTGGGGTGATCTCAAGTGCTCCGGAAGGGTAAGCAGATCCTGCTCGACATGTGGCACCCATTGTATTGCTCAGGTAAGTACAAACCCGGTAATAAGTCTAATTCGGTAGGTCACATTCGGGGAAAAGGGGGACGGGATTGTAGTTATGACATTAGGAACAAATCCGCTACCATCTGTGAAACGGATATTCCATAACGGTAAACCAACTCGTTACAGCGTCCGTAAAACTTACGAAGAGATGATTTCAACTTCACCACTTGAAACTCTTTTTTTTTAATAGCTTCCTTGTAAGCAGCAACCCTCTATCAAGGAAATCATGATAGGAAATACAAGCCCTGAAATATCGAATCAACTGGGAGATATATACTCCGTATGCTGGCGCTGCTGGAATATTGCTACATAGAAATGGAAAGTTCACAATTGGGAAGTTGAAATCTTTTGTCGTAAAGTTTTGTTTTCAACCGACCTTAATTGTCAAATTCTAGATGTTAGTCAAGATATGAGACAGAATTAACTGTATTGTATCCTTCATCTCAAGTTCGATAGAATAGATGCGTTCAACAAAGTGACCAAATTTTGAATTATTTAGTGAGAGAACATAATCTATATAGCGGAAAGTAAAGTTAAAGGATACTGCTAACTTTTTTTTCTTCCTAAGAAGTTCCTGTATGAAGTCAGCCTCATATGAATAGAGAAACAAGTCGGCAAGAAGAGAGACACAGTTTGTTCCCACCGGAATGCCGATTGTTTGTTGAAAAACAAACAAATATGTTGTCAATCAAGAAATCAATCATCTTAATAATGTCAGTTTCAGAGAATTTTTTGTTGTAATCAAAGTGATTTTTTACAAAGTAGGATTTATCCCTTCCTAAGACAAAATATTTGTATCTACGTTGGCCATTCTTTTTTACGAAACAAAGAAGGACCAACTCTTTCAATTTGTCTTTTAGTTTGGAATGAGAAATACTTGTGAAAAGTGTAGAAAAGTCAAATGTTTTAATACTATTGCAAGATGAACGAGTCTTAGATTGTACGTACTCTAAGAGATTTTTGGATTTTTTTTAGTATCCACATCTGATTCACGCCACCTCTAGTATAGGTAGTTTCACAATAACTTTGAAGTCCGGCTTTGATTGATGATAAAATTGATGTTAATACTTTAGAAAGAGGTTTCGTGGAGCACTTGGAATACCAAGCAATATACCGTTGTTTGTAAGGACACTTACGTAGTTTAGGTATCCAATACAATGATGGAAGATCCAGATCGTCGTCTTTGGTTGAAGTTCCAAAGGAACATAGAACAGACCTATGATTATCCAGGATTTCCTCTTTAGTATGTGTCGTGGGGGTTTATGTTGAGTTTCCAAGCGAATTGTCAATACCTAATTCGTTTATCAAGCAGTTTATGTAATTTGATTTACACACAAAAAACGATGTTGTTTGGGGCTTTATCTGCGGGAACAACAACATATTTTCACAATAACTTTGAAGCCCGGCATTGGTTGCTGATAAAATTGATGTTAATAATTAAAGTTCATCATAGATACGAGGATTTAAGTTTTGTTCGCCAGACATGCATTACGTCTACATTAGACTCATCAGTGACGCTCGAATAAAAAATATTAAAAAGGGCATTTGAAGAGCATTGAGGACCCAAAATTCCGAAAGAATTTTGCCAAATAAAGCGAAGTTTATCTATTCCTGATGTAGAAAAAATATTTAAAAACATTCTAAGTTTAGTTCAGATAGTAATTTTGTTGGTGTCTCTACAATTTGACGTGTTTGTTGGATGTATTACTTTAATCTTATATGACCTAATATGTGTTGTTAACTTGAATAACCCTCAGAAGGTTTATTTATCTGTTCAATCCAGTATACATAAACCTTTTTTATAATCAGACTTTTTCATTAGATTTTTCCAAGAGGACATTTTAGCAGTCAACCAAATCATATTTTAGGCATATTTTTTTACCTATATGAACCAGCTTTAACTTTAATGTCTATCTCCATTCAATATAATTGTTGTTGGCTCCAGTGATGTTTCAAAAAAAGAATCAGAGCTTTAAGATGTATTTTAGCTTCTATTGGTAGCATTCCAATTAGTTAGTGTATGAGCCGGGTCAGCTGTTTGCTGAGACAATCATTAAGTATTTGTAATTTTCTTATGAAATTGATTAAAAGAGTCGAAAATGCGGCCTGTCGGGAGTAGTATTTCCAAACCATATGTAAGAATAGGCATTACGTAAGTATCTTAAAGAGTTACTGCTCTTTGGGATCTAGTTCATTCTTCCCATGCAGGTCTGGTCCCATTTGACTATATAATGATCATGCTTTCTTGATGTTTCCTTCTACAGTTGATTTAGCTAAGTTTTTTCTGACATTTTTGTATTCCAATGTATGAGAAATGTTCCTCGAGTGGTAAAGAATTATTTTCGATATTTATAAAAATCTCTTTTATTTCAAGAGACTTAGTTGATTTGTTCATAGGTAAAATCGCACTTTTTGTTGGTTGTACACACTCTCGTGATGAAATTGACGGCAGTGTTTACCAACATCTGAAGTTCTTGAGAATTGTTTGCAATGATAGCTACGTCTTCAGCACACGGTTGAGCGTAGCAGCTAATAATGCCATAAAGGGTTAAGAAGTGGATTTACATACGGCTCATATAAAGCGGCACTTATGACACCACCTTAGCGTACACCCTGATAAGATGTTAAATTAATGATTGATCAAATATTCCCTCTTTGTATAACCTCCTTATTACATTAGAATGTACTACAACACATGCGTCAGAAGCGCTTTCCTGGATTTACCTCCCAATGCAGATTTTTCATCTTGTAAAGCTATATATACAGTGGCATTATTAGATGATTACTTTTCAACCTCAAACTCTTCATTGATTAGTTCACATAACAAAGGGACGATGTTCTCAATTCCTTATTTTCGTATCTTTACAGTAGTGAGAGGTTTAGCTAGCTACAAAACCAGGTTTAATCCACCATTTCCTACATTAGGAAATGCCCATACCAAGTCAGGAATATGACAGTTGTTTTCCATTTGTTTAATGTGTTTGCTTAGTTCTTTCATGTTAATCTTATTGTTTTCCTGTTACCAATAAGCAGGTTTGCATATTATGTGTGCTTAATTGCGAGGAGAAGGATGTAACCTTAAAGTGAGTTCAATTAATCAAACATTTCAATCTGTGTGAAAAAAATGTATATTTATACAGTACATGAAGAGGTTTCAGACAAATATAGACGAGGGTAAATACAAATCACTGGAAAGACATTTATTGTCCAGTAAAGTTGGTACCGTTAATGTTATTACTATATACAACTGGGGCGATAGCTCAGTAGCTAATACTATGTCTGGCATGAACATACGGGTATTGTGTTTTTGAAATTTGCAGTTACAAAATTAAAGAATATATCTCCCTGGTGCAAAGCTTTTATTCCTTGGCCGGCTTTGGCTATACTTTTGGTCTTTTTTGGTTTCATCAGCACTTCGAGTTTTGAATAAGTTTTGGCATCAAGCATCAATGAAGAGACATTTATATTGATACCGTTTATGTCATAGGCATTGTATTTTACAACGGACAAGTATGTATTATATCAAGCTAAATCGCCATAAGTCTGGAAAAGTAGTGAATAATTTTAACACAGATTATCTGCCATTAACATAAAGGTCTATAAAGAAAAGCAAGAAAGAAAAAAGTTCAATTTCTTCAAAATAGATGAAAATCATGACTTACGACTGCATGATTTTTGTAAAAATGTCGTTTCATTTGAAAGTATTGTCTATTCGTCGATTTATGTTTTTTTTAATTGGTATCTCTTTCATACCTTATTTTTGATAAATAAGCTCAACGAAAAAGGTCAAAGATATAAACGCCATATAACATCCACGTTAAATGACATAGGAATATAGTGTACTATATTTATGCTTTCTTTATTATGAAAAAGATAAGTTTGGAATTAATATTAATGAGACGCAATCACGGTAAAAGCAGAACGACAAAAAATCAAGAAGTCTTCGTCAACTGTGAGTATTTTTACAATATATCAAGGTCTAAATCGGCTTTATTAAATAAGGAGTTGTGGTATGATTGCCAATAAGACATCTATCCAGCAGAGACGAGGCAAACGTAAATGTATAGTCTACACAAGTGGTTGTAATTAAACAAGAGATCTGCCATCTACACCCCATTCTCTAAAGGGATAAAACATTTATTAAATATAACTTAAGACAACCAAGAACAAAATTTCTGATTTGGTACAGGTATATTAACATGAGGCGAAATATTCTCAGTTAATTGATTTTCAAGAACTTTCATTTGGCATAATCAATCAAAAACGCAAAATTAGCTCGGTTTTAATTAATGCTGTATATACAACAGTAAGTTTTAAATGACAAATATTTCGACAGGTTTTTAATCAAGATGCCAATTGCTAAAAGGAGTTAAAATTAGTTTTTTAAGGATCTAAAATAAACAACCGAATGCTTCAATATATTCCACAAACCCAGATTTTGATGCTGTAAATATCAGTCTGACTCTCCTGCAAAAAAAAAAAAAACAAAACAAAACAAAATGTAAGAAACATGCATTTTAGAACAAGCGGTTCTACAGAAGTACATGTAATATATTTTTTTTCGGAAAGAATTACCCTTCCAGAGCATCAAAATCGAAAGATAAATATATGTCAGAAAACATGTATGTTGTAAAGTTTCTGTGATATTCAGTCGTATTTTTTCAGTTTAAAATGCATAGATCAGTGACAGAATATGACACACTCCTTGTACATTTAAACTCATAAAGTCATTATACTACGGTAAACATTCCTACTAAAAAACAAATAGTTTTTTTTACGCTCTTGTATATATGATGGAATTTATTTATGTCGCGATGTCATCGAAATGCCTTTCGTACGATATCGTACATTAACCTGAATAAATATGTCAACTGTTGCTCTTGACAAGTGCAATCGACGATAAGTTGCATTCTGTGATACATCAAAACGAGGAAAGGAAGATATGATAGTGTTGCTGAATGGAAAACCCCATCCAGACCCTCATACGCACTTATAGTTGTCAAGACTTATTTAACTGTAACTGTGTAATAAATCTATATACTAGAACTACGAACGAAAACACAGCACAAAAGAATCACGTAATGAAAAATAGAAGTGTTCTTAATTTGTAATCCTTTGTTTGAATTTGAAAACAAAATTCTTTAAAAAATATTTATATAAATATAAAAAGTAGAGAATTTCAAAGATCTACCGCCCACTTATTTCAAAAAAGGACAAAAACATTAAAATATATCAAATATGGACAACTATTGACACGCATTCTGGCTTAAGCGCAATAATATGTGAAGAGAAATGATATTATTTTAAAATGCTATATATGCCCTTGTAATCGATTTCATTGAAATGAAAAAGGTTATACGTACATACCAACTATTCTTATATATAAATGAAAAGAAATTTTGCATATGGAAATAAATCACTGAGATCTTCTCTATATGCATCCTTTCAAGTGAACTTCAAGTAATAAACTGATATTTTTTCAATACAAAATTTTGCACAGAATTTTAAGCACAAATGACCTGCTATCTGAATTTAAACTCAACTTAAACCTTTGTAGTTTTTGCAATTAAACAAAAGAACATATCTTTTGGAAATGTTACATGGTTAAAAGTTTGTGGTTCAAACTAATTGATATATTACAATCAGATTGCAATTATGAGCTTCTGATATCAGTACAAAACATTCTCGTGGGATCAGATATTATAGATATCACTGGAAATGTTTTCATTGTTCCCATGACTACTATATTTATTCTTGTAGATTGAGGTCACTGTTGCCTTGTGTTCAGATAGAACTTTCAGAAGTTAAAAATTATTACATTATTGAAAAATTAACTTCCACCTTCACAGTTCACCTGCAAAAGGCGAGAAAATAGAAACTAGAGGGTCTTAAGAGCCTGTCGCTCACCTTGGTCTGTGCTTATTCAACAAAGGTCACTTTCCAACATTGTAGACAAGAATATAATTCATGACAAAAATCTCTGTTTTGTTGATCTTGTATTGCTAATCATTTAATCTGTCAAGTTTCTCACAATCTTCTTTAGTTTTTGCTCAAAACACAAAAGATGGTTGAAAAAAATCCTCATTTACTCTCCTATGAAGAGTGACAGTCTACATGTACTAACTATATCAGCAAAATTTGACTTGTTAGTAGATTTTGCCTTGCTGATCATTTTTGTGTTTTAAAGTGTCTTTTTAACTATTATATTTTTTATCATATAAGACAAAATACCCCCCCCACCCAAAAAAAAAAAAAAAAATCGTAAAAATCGTCATAAAAGGGCATTAACCTCAATAAGGAGTCATCGGGTGATTTCCTCCATATAGTTTTAATTAGAGATCTTGTCTTACTGATCATTTTTGCTTATTTAAGTTTCTACCTATCTATAAAAAATTAATTAAAGATATAAGGCAAAGTCGCAAAAAAATGGTAAAAATCGTCATCAAAGGGCAATAACTCTAATAAGAAGTCGACTGACGATTTAGACCATGCGGACATATTTGTAGAACTTGACTTGCTGATCATTTTTGCAATTTGAAGTCTTCAAGTTAATAGACCAAAATGAAAAAAAAAATGTTAAAATTTGTCATTTAAAGGCTATTACTCCTATAAGTCTGGCAGTTTTGATGTATATGAACAATTGGTAGAGCTCAACATTCTGAACATATATATCGACGGACGTCAAGTGATAAGAAAAGCTCACTTGGACCTTTGGGCTAGGTAATTTAAATAAACTGCTTCGCTGAGCGCAGCTGGATACGCCCGCAGAGGTCCAACCCTGAACAGTTGGGGCAAAAATGGACACAATATTCAAGCTTGATACAGGTCTGAATTTGGATTGTAATTAAATATTTGACATATTATAGGTTTCTGAATGAATGTAGCCAAAGAACTTGAAATTGGTTATATTAATTGAATTTATATTCAATGAAAGATTTCTTGCTGTTGTGCAATACTTAGTAAATTTGTTGTCAGACTATAAACAAATAAAGTTCAATTTCTTCTCAATGTCATATTTGAAATTTATGAAAATCAATAGGGAGATTACATCAATAGCTATAAATAATTCATCAAAGTTTCATAAGAACTGCTGAAAGCATTTTTGAGTAATTGCCCAAAAACTGGAAAATCCCCTTTTTTTAATGAATAAAACCCCATAACTCGGAAATGTAAAATCTACAATTTATAAATTTCTAAAGGGAGCTTACATCAACAGATATTAACAATTCACCAAAGTTTCATAAGAACTGCGGAATTTTTTAGTTATTTGTCCGAAAACTGGAAAATCCCCCTTTTTTATGAATAAAACCCTGTAACTCGGAAACGTAAAATCTAAAATTTATAAAAATCGAAAGGGAGCTCATGTCAATAGATATAAACAATTCACCAAAATTCCTTGCAAGTTGGTGAAGGCATTCTTGAGTTATTGTCGGAAAACTGGAAAATCCCCCCTTTTTTAATGAATAAAACCCCAAAACTCGGAAACGGTAAATCTGAAATTTAAAAAAAAGGGAGCTCACGACAATAGTTATAAACAAATCACCAAAGTTTCATGCATATTGCTTAAAGTTTTTTGAGTTAATGTCCGACATATTGACGACGGACGGACGGACAGACGGACAGACGTACGGACAGACGGTCAACGGTATACCATAATACGTCCCGTAAACGGGCGTATGAAAATGGGAACCATTTAAACAATTAATTTTTATGACACAAGAAAGATAACTCATACAAAACTTTAAAAAAAATGTGTAACACAACTGAATGTACATCACAAATGGACAGTGGTTATTGTGCATCCTATATATATATATATGTATATAAATATGTGTAAGACTTAAATATGTGTTACTATGTTATAGTAGTTACAGTTTAGATAATTTGTGATAGGATTTCCAGTCTTGGTTTGAAATATATTTTCATGTAAAAATAATGTATATTTTCTACATTTGTAAAGAAAGTAACAAACAAACAAAATGTAACTGTATGTTTTTATGAGTACAAGTATATAGCATCAATAATAATCTCATGTTGATCATATATGAACATTAGTTAGTGTTTTTTTTATTTAGCATTAACGCTGACACTGACACTGACAGGTCATAATTATAAAACATGCATTGTATCCTACTTTAAAAGAAAGAATGCACATGATAATGGTATGAGGTGAAGAAGTACAAAAAAAAAGAATTATGAAAAAAAACTATTCTTATATTAAAAATCAGTTCAGAAAAAGTACACAACAGAAACACTTGAAAATTTTCACTTTACAAAAATAAATAATATAGTATCAAAGAATTCTCAAAGATACTTTAAACACGTATTTTCATTCATTTATAATTCTCAATGTGATGCAACTTTGTACTTTATTTGGTCTTTTCAACTTGTTTGATTTCAGCGTCACTGATGAGTATTTTGTGACAAAATGCGCGTCTAGCGTACACAATTTGAATCCAGGTATGTATTATTAGTTCATTATTAACTTCTACATGTACTGAGCATCACTGTGTATTCACTTTAATAAACTTTGATTTGAAATTGTAATTGTTCCCTGTAAACCGAAGAATCAAAGGCTTTTTTTGTTCACAAATCACTTTCGTTCAATTTAAATGACACTTCGGTTACATTTTATATTAGTTTTAGGCACAATCGTTATATTAATTTCTAGATACATCTTATTTTTCCCAGAAAGAAAAACCTTCCTGTTTTGGAAAGAAACAATCATAGGTAAATTGGTACACTTACTTTTTTGACATACATCACCTATAAAGTCTTCACGACAATCACACGTAAAACCTGGTGCCACAAGTGATTGAGAACATGAACCCTCGTTCATGCAAGGATTCGGCGAACATACTTCTACAAGTATAAAATTTACTTTTTACAACAAGGTTGTCAAACGTGTTCATTTTAAATGATAGAAACATATAACAGAATAAAAGTTCAAACATACATAAAAAGGGATAGAAGATACCAATAAAAAACTGTCGACTAAAATCAGACATAACCATAACAAAAGGACAAAATAACTACCCAGAAATATAAGTAACACGAACTCATGAAATTAGGGGATTACCTCTAATGCTTGATAGGTCGCATTTGGTGATGCCAAAACCGACGATAAAAGGACACATTGTTCCTAGGACAATTGAAGTATAATCCTGTCATCTGTGACACAGATATTCCGTCCAACCAAAATTATGACGGCGTCCGTGAATCTTCCAAAGGTTTTATTTCAATCTAGCAATTTGAGTCAAAGGCCTCAAACAATTCTAGATGGGAAACGCAAGCTTTGGAATATGGTTTCAACAGGGATATTTCTTTTGTATGAAGACGCAGGAATGTTGCTATAGAGAAATGGAAAGTTCCTAATGTAAAAATAAAAATCTTCTCTTTTGCCGCAAAGTTAGTTCTCAACCGGACAGAATTGTCAACTCTAGCTTCAAGTCAAGATATGATGCAGAATTAACTGTATCTTTTTATTTCGTACCAAACTATGAATTGTCAAATGATAAGTTGTCATTTATTCAGAGGAATCTGAAGTTTAAGGAAAATAATAGTTTTTTTCAGTCTTTTTGAGAAGCTCCTGTATGAAGTCAGCCTCTGACAGACTTGATTATGCGCCGTTTATGTTTGAATACTTTTCCATACGAATAAAGGAACAAGTCGACAAAACGAGACGCACAGTTTTACCATGGAATGCAAAAACTGTTTGTTAAAAAGCTTGTCCACTAAAAGTATCAAATTCGTTGTCAATAAAAAAATCCGTCTTGATGATATCAATACCAGAAAACATTAGGTTAAGAACAAGATAAACAATAAGGTATAGATTTGCTAAATGCTGAAGGCAGTACTGTGATCCGTACTTATAACTTCAATGTACTTTGGCCTATTGGGAAAATTGTCTCCTTGGCAATAATACCACATCTCGAACTCTTATATTTATATACTTGTGTAAAGGGCAAAGTAATCAAATGATTTATACAATTGGACGAAAATAAAGACTTATCCTGCACGTAATCTCACACAGATCCTTGGAAATTTATAGTATCCACATCTGATTAACATCACCCCTTCAGTAAGTTGTTTCACTTAAACTATGAATCTCAGTTTTAATAGCTGATGACAGAAAATTTGTAAAGATTTTTCGCAGAGCATTTGGTAGATTCAGCAATATAACTCTGTTTGTAAGGACACTTATGTAACTTTAACATCTAGTAGGTAGATGAAAGATCTACTTTTTCATATTTTGTAAAAATTTCAAAACAAAAATAAAAAGGCATATGATTTAACAGGATTTCGTATAATGTAAATCACTAACACAAAAACTGTTTGGGAATCTGTATCCTGAGTGTTAATTGACACATTACGTTCTTTATAATTCTGATTTGAATAACAACTACATCATATAGCCTCAACCCATTCCGAGAGATTATCTACTATTCGTCTTTGTTTTTACTTTATGCATTTTTCCTGGCATTTTCCTTTACTGAATCAATTAATGGAAAAGAAAGGATGTAGTGTATTGATTCAGGACATAAAATACTTCACCCATAAACATAAAAAATACAAAAGAAAAGGAACAGCTCTCTTATTGCTGCATTTCATGTTAAGTGACAGCGTGGCAATAAAATGAGGCCTTCAACACGATAAAATTTCTCCTCACTACTGCAAATTCAATTCAAACCATAGCACCAGTTTACCATGGGTACTTATTGTGCATCAAATCTGGTCGACTTGTTTTGTATTACTCATATGAAGAAGAATTCATACAGATTATTCTTAAATACAAAACGAAAAAGTTTCTTGCAAAGTTTTTTATTTTACATTTAGATATATTGATGATGTTCTGTCGCTAAATAACCCCATTTCAATCAGTTCGTATATCTTTAATATCAGAGTAAACTTGAGATTAAGGATACTCCCGAAAGTAGAAGGTTTGCTTCAAATCTTGATCTTTTCCTCCATATTGACACATATGACGACTTCCAACTAGAATAAATGACAAGTAAATAACCCACATTTCAATGTGTGATTAAATCTCCTATATCACAGTGACTTGAGATTAAGGATACTCCCGAAACTAGAATCTATCACAAACATGATGTTTCAACTCTCTAATTGTCAATGTCCCACTGTGTCCTATTCCCAATTGTGAGTTTGAATGTCCCTTTGGTATCTTTTGCCTCTCTTTACCAGGTGTATGAACACAGATACTACATATATATCTTCAAAGACTCAAATGATGATAGATACTAGTCTTAAATTCATGGAAGTATATAGTCCACACTGAGTAAAGCCTGTTTTGTCGTGCGTGTAAATAACATCATGTAAGCTTTCTGATGAAGGAATTATGTATTTACCATTACATTGAAAACGAAAAAACTCAAGCGACACTTACTAACGAGGAAATTATGTTTTTTTTTAAAACTTTAACCAAATAGAAGAACTAATATTCTCCCACTATAATGATTACCTAAAATTATCTGCAAAACATCATTCCGTAGGGAATCCAAACCAGACTTTAAAACTACAGTGAAATAATCTACTCTAGGGTGTCACAGGTATTCATATCCGTAATGAAGATTTGGTAATTCAATTTCAATTTGCAAGCCGTCAGTATCGTGCATGTCCACATTTTATATCTGATCAATTAAGTAGTGTCTACGTTTTACTTGTACACTACTAAATTAATTAGATATAAATGTTGACACCGTTAGAAGAACGGAGTAATGATTATATAAAATATGTAAACTGAAATACATTTATATACAACAAGAAATGATTGTGACATAGGGTCGGCGATAATTAAATTTGATTCAAAATTGGTTCTTTGTGGCTTTCTAAAATGACATTGATGTTTTTTCAACGCTTGTTTGAAAAATATTGTATTTTATTTTTATGCGAAATTAAAGTTCTGTTGTTTTGGAAAACCAACACTAAAGAAATGCATATTTTTTTTCTCGAAAAAGACTCAAACCCTGCCACATTCTGTATGTGCCTGTCCCAAGTCAGGAGCCTGCAATTAGGTTGTTGTCGTTTGTTGCTGTACATCATATTTGTTATTTTGTTTAATATTTTGTATCTAAATCAGGCTGTTAGTTTTCTCGTTTAAATTGCCTTTTATGTCTTGCTTTGAGGTATGGGTTTTGCTCATTATTGAAGGTCGTACGGCGACATTTAGCTGCTATCTTCTACGTCATTTATTCCCTGGTGTAGAGTTGTATCTTTGAAAATCATACCACCTCTTCTATATTTTATATTGAGATTATATTTGAAAAAAATAGCCATATGTGACGAATTGCAAATTTTCAAGTTTTTGAATTGCTGATGGTTTTCGTCTAAGAAATAAGATATACCTGCTTCGCATCGAGAACCTGTCCAGCCAGACAAACAGTCACATTTGAAAGAAGATCCAGATATTGAACATGTGCCGCCATGCAAACACAGATTTGGTGAACAAAACGATACTAAAAATATACAAAAATAAAGCATTTTCTTTAACCTCCGATTTTCAGAAATTGTCATTCTTATGACAATTTTTTATTTATTTTTTTGTTAACTTTCTAATGCAAATGCACAGCAGATGTGAATGTTTTTATGTATATCCGACAATCACAATGCATAGCTCTGATTTCTTGTTTTGGTTTGGCTATATGTTAGGTGTGGTTTTTATTTATTCATTAGCTCTTCAACGTTTGCATTTGGTGCTGTATTTTCAAATACGTTGTCATAGAGCATCACCGAAGAGACATAAGTTGTCGAAATGTGCATCAGTGCAGAATAATTGGTACCGTTGATGTTATTACTGATACTGGTTTGACACCTCTGCTGGTGGACTGCTAGTATCATTAACCTATTAGCCAGTACTTCGGTAGTGGCAAGAACATTCGGATAATGTTTCATTAAAAATTGTTTTATTAAAGTTTGGAAGCAGTTTAAAATTAAGGAATGCCTCTCCCTGATACAAAGCCCTGATTCATTATCATCCGGGTTTGGCTATATTTCGTCTTTTTTTTGGAGTTTTATGAACTCTTCAAAGATTTAACAGTTTTATATTTTGAAATATGTTGTCATTTAGCATTACTGAAAAGACATTAGTTGTCAAATATCCACCTGCTTTAGATACATTGGTACCGTTAATGCTATTACTATCACTGTTTAACTGTTTGAAAGTTACTGTTACAAATTATGGAATGTCTCCCACGTGTGTAGTCCTGATTCCTTGTCGTCCGGTTTGAATTATGTGTTTGTCTTTTTTTTTGGTTTTATCACCTCTTAAACGTGTGTGTTCTGTTTTCGATTTCAAAAAAAAATGTTGGCCTTCATTATCGATGAAGTAATATTAATTGTCGAAATAAACATGAAATTCGTCGGTTTTCTTTCTGTAAACATATTAGAAACAAATAATTGGTTACTCTTCTTATGATTGAATAACACGTCTCAATGGACCATAAAGAACTTGGACATATGTTGATTAATTATTTTGTGTATAATCCCGTCTACATATGGCCGTATTTCACTGCCTCTTACATTAGACACTGTTCATATCGTTCAGCATTGCTTTTGTTTCTTTAGGAAATTAATTTTGACGTCAAATTTATTTTTGGACTCTATAATTTATATTTAATATCAAACTTTTCTTTAAGAATATTATTACAATTTATAGCTTGTCATGTTATTTAGTAGCTTGTCTATTGTTAAATACAATAAGTTAACGTAAAGGTCAGAGTTTGGCTGTTTTGTCTTTTGGATTGCTATCTCATTCACGTTTCCTCACATTTCATTTTATTCATAACTACCTCGGTACGTGGCAGCGTGGTTGCGGGATGGGTATTAAACCATCGCTTGTAAAAACCTGACCCAAGCACACTACACATCTTACTTACTGTTCAATGTGTCGGTGTAGTACAAAGTAGGGTACATATACATATCACATATTCTCGTCCTGAAGAAAGATTTTCTACTTGAAAATAAAAATTCCGTTTTTCTCATTTGCTGTCATCATCCCTTTATTCTAATTAATCTTGCTGGAATTTGTCTGACATCGATGTGTTTCCAATTGTTTTCAGTTTCATAGATATAAGAAGATGTAGTATGAGTGTCATGTTTGTTTTTCCCTAACTTGTAAACTACCTTCATATTAAACTACTCAACGAATTGTCTTGTGTATACTACCTACATATCAAGCTGCTTATTTGTCCTGAATTGTATACCAACTACATATCAAACTATCAAATGAGTTCGTGCCAGTGTGCTAGCTACAACTTCTCGGTATTCTGGCTTGTATATACTGCTAAAAATCAAAGTTCTCAGTGTCATTTGATGTTCTGTTCACTGTATGTTTTGTTTGGGTTTTGATACTACCTACCGATGGCCGGGTATGTATATACTACCTACATATCAAACTGCTCATTTGTCCTGTAAACTAAATACATACCAGACTACGCATTATTGTTAGCCAATATAGTTACTACATATTATAAAAATACTCAGTGTCGTGTGATGTATTTTTTCCCTAAAAATCAAACTACTACTTGGATTAGATGAATAATAAAAAAAAATCAGCTTGGTGTACAAGAAAATATATAATTATATCTTATGAGAGTTGTTCCTCCATTCTCATTATCTATTATTTTTTTCTGTACATTATACAGATGTGTTATCTTTAATAGTTTATTGGGGGGAAAAGTGATATCATATGAAATATTTGACACAAAATAAACCTAAGCCTTACTTTTTGCGTCAGTTTTGACTTGATTCTGTCTTAGTGACGGACAACGTCTTCGTATGGTCTGTGTGTAGTTTTTTCTGTAAAATTAGTGTGCATTTACTAAAATGAAATATGTAAAGATTACCTGAAGAAAAATACTCGGATCCGTTTGCAGGAATCAATTCAGTTGTACGTGAAAAATATTCATTGTTTAGTCGACATGTTTTATGTATGTAAAATACAGAAAGACAATTCGTTGTTTTTGTGCACTCATTTACACACATAAGTTGACTATTTGACTTCAACGTAGAAATCTCATTTGTTGTAGCTATGTAGTTGGTGAGGTTAACATCCCTAAACCAATGTGACAATTTACCTGTAAAATATGAATACATTAGAAACAATATTGCTTACATGAAGTCTGCTTGTACATTTGTCTAGCCTCTGATGATTCTTTACTGAATATATGTATGCTTATACAGTTATGATTATATTTTCCGTAGTCTAAGCACTGTTGACAGTTGTAGTTGTATTTTCTATTATTATTTAGTCTACAGTTTCAGTATTTTAAGTAAAATTTGCGGAACTTATTTTACAATATCAGCGCTGAGCGTTTAAAGATTGTATTTCGGTATAGACAGGACATGTCACGCGCACTGAAATCGGTCTAATATTTTCTTTTATAAAAACATTTAAAGAACGTATAGGATGGTTTCTATTTGATGAGAAAATAACAATAGACATTTTATGTGGGTTATAGATCCATAATGTTCAATGTATACCTTACCAGAGACATTTTATTTTTGTTTAACTTGCTAGAGACATCTTATCATTGGTTATAGATCGCCATTATAAGTTACGAGAACATTGTAACAGATCCCACGGGTTCAGTCAAACTTAATATTCATCTAGATACAGTTTTTCATTTTCTTGTACCTCATATGTTTATTTTATAGTTGCACTTCTGTAGTTTTAGACAATGCAATGTCCCAAATGAACTCCTTTTACTACTAAAACTGTGCCACTTTAATTATGAAGTTTCGTAAAAAAAAAAACATATCCTGGAATGGAAAGTTCATATGCACTGCTATTTTTTGCAATGGTCATAACATAGGGTTGTGCGGTCTATTTTCAACATTTATATGCCTTGAACTTCTATGAGTTTAAACTTATACTAAAATTCTTTACTATCCATCCCTTTACTTTGAGTCTTTCTGAGAATTCAATTTTTCCGCTATCCAACGGTAATTATACTCGTAAAATTCACAAGTTTTGTCTTTATGATATGAAACATGGAGATCATATCTGGGAACAAGTAGAAAAACAAAACAAAATATCAATGAATATTATATATCTCCCCAAAAGAGGCGTGGTTTGTGAATCAGGATTATTTACAAAGTCCAACCTATAAATTACAATAGACATTATCGGAGCACCTGGAATCACCCACAGTTTTTGGTGGGGTTCGTGTTGCTCAGTCTTTAGTTTTCTATGTTGTGGTTTGTGTACTGTTGTTTGTCTGTTTATATGTTTGTATGTTTGTCTGTTTGTATTTTCTTTTTTAGCCATGGCGTTGGCAGTTATTTACTACTTATGAGTTTGAATATCCCTCTGGTATCTTTCGCCTCTCCTTTTTAATTTTCATAGATACCTTGTGTGCACTATTACTTACTAGAAACATTTTGTGAATGATCGACAAAAGTCCGTTTTCAGAAACAAAGAAGCTGTGAACTGTCTATCATCTCTTCACGATAAATATGTTGTTGCTCCTGCGGACAAAGTTTCAAATAATATTGTCTTTGTATGTAAATGGTACTACTACGAGTATCTTGTAAAAGAATTAGGAATAAATGAGCACTCAGGTAGTCTCACATATCATTTGACAAGAATTAGATTTTGGTGAATTAAAAGTCCTTCATGGCTTCAAATTAACAAAACACCACACATGAAAATAGTTGAGTTACACGAATACCAGCAAAACCAAGGATTCCCAGATGCTTCGGATGGGTGAATCAGTTCACATTCCACTAATGGTACTCGTCGTGTTGCTAAAGGCAAGTAAACATATATTGATAAATTCGTTAAACGTTGACGTCACAATCGAGATTAAGAGGATGGGAATATTGCTACGACATGTGAAAAAATTATCCGTATTCATCTGTGACACAGATATTTCATGAAGGTCAACCAATTAATGAGGATTTCAACTTTAACATTTGGAACCCTAACTTCCTAAGCAGCAACCCTCTACTAAGGAAACTATAAGAAAACACATATCCTAGCATAGTGTATCAACATGTATATACGCCATATGCAGCTATTTTGCTGATTGGCGAATGCAACACATTCAAAGATCGTTTCTATCCGTTTTTTTAATAGATTTGCGCTCAGTATAAACCATTTTTTAGTCATCGAACTTAAACTTAAAATTAACATAGAATAACAAAGTGAAAATAGTCAAAAAAAATCTGACAAAGTGATCAAATCAAAGATCTGTTTATGCTGAGTAAGATTAAACAGTTAAACAGCATCTATACTACTAAATGAAGAGACCAATTTCATTGAGCCGCAACTCCTCTGAAACCATACAAAGTCGGAAATATTTGTGATATGACGTATAAATGTAGTGTTTTGTACTTCCTAAATTTGACTTTGAAACAATCTTTTTTCCACAGAAAACGCCAATTTTTGAGAAAATATCCAAATTCGGAGACCGTTATCGATCCGTGTCTTATACGCTTTTGCGCATGCTCAGTCGACGTATCAAAGAATTCAACTATATGGCCCAAGACCACAATTAATGATCCCGCTTTTCACGAATATAGTTCCTTTTAATTAGAGTGTATTTTTTCTTAATTTTTTTTCTTTCCCTTCCTCACTCATTTCTTAGTTTTTTTTGGGTGGAAATAAAAGAAGAGAGGTGAAATAATCTTTTGGATGTTGTATTTTAACTGATTTTGATATGGAAAGAGTGATTAGGCCAGGTGCAAAAAGGTGATATTTACAGTTTTCGGAACATCTCTTGACTTGTCCATAGGGGTATGGATGTGTATTGGCTAAATTTGTAAGAGTCATTGGTTCAATCTTTCTGAATTTTGGATATATTTTTGGACTAGTACTATACATTATACACACAAAAGATTTGACAAAAATGCAAGGTGCAATTTTTTTAATGAAACAAAACGTTATAAAGAACTAATAGGGGAATTTAATTGTGGTCTGTGGCCATATAACTAATATAGGACAATGATGTTGATTAAAAATTACACCATTCCAGGCCCTTTTGTTTTCCACATAATTAATATTATCAATAATTAACAAGTTCCGGGTCGAATGCGATACCGATATCAATAGTATATATTACCTATTACTAATCTGTACGTTCCGCATCTGTCAGGCGCACCACCATTTGCTATATACACGGGTCATAAACACACCTAAACTTCGTTATTATACAGGGTTGACACTACTCAATTCAATCATTGTCACATTGTTTCCGTTTGTAGTTTTTTAATCAGTTTTACTTTATAAGATAACAATACAAATACTAAAAATCCAGACTTGAAATAAAGGCGTAGATACAGTTTCCAGTTTGTTAGCCGGCATGACGTAAAAACGGCGAAATAAAGAATTCAAATTTATATATAACTAATATAGGACAATGATGTTGATTACAAGTTACACCACTCCAGGCCCTTTTGTTTTTCAAATAATAAATACTACAAATAATTAATAAGTTCCAGGTCGACGGGTTCAAACAGAAAAATTTTGAAAGCAGAGAAAACCTTGCCTCTTATAATCAACATGACTTTATCATATGACAATACCAATACAAATTTGTAGATTTTGGCTTATATCTCTGAAACCAAAGCATTTAGAGTAAATCTAACAAGGGTAAAACTGATTATCAGGTCAAGATCTATCTGCCCTGAAATTTTCAGACAAATCTGACAACCTGTTGTTGGGTTGCTGCCCCTGAATTGGTAATTTTAAGGAATTTTGCAGTTTTTGGTTATTATCTTGAATATTATTTTAGATATAGATAAATTGTAAACAGCAATAATGTTCAGCAAAGTAAGATCTACAAATAAGTTGTCATGACCAAAATTGTCAGTCGACCCCTTTAGGAGTTATTGCCCTTAATAGTCAATTTTTAACAATTTTTTGTAAATTTTTGTAATCTTTTACAAAAATCTTCTTCTCTGAAACTACTGAGACAAATTTAACCATACTTGGCCATAATCATTATTAGGGTATATAGTTTAAAAAATTTGTCTGATGATCCCGCCTTCCAACCATCATGGTAGACTTGGTTAAAAATAGAACATAGGGGTAAAATGCAGTTTTTGGTTTATATCTCTGAAACTAAAGCATTTAGAGCAAATCTGACAGGTGGCAAAAATGTTCATCAAATTTAGATTTATCTGCCCTGAAATTCAATCCAAATCCAATCCAAATTAAAAATAAGGCTTATATATGATGAGATAACTCAATTCAGTCACGGACTCCCGATGTCGCGGGTGTGGTCTAGTGATCAATAATATTAGGGCATGTAGGTGAACGGGATGTAAGAAAACTTTCAACAACACAAAGATCTTGTTTATGTAGTTCTAAGACAGACATATATGAAACTAAATCCGACACGAATGGCCCCGCACGCAAAAATAGCTTGAAGCCATTTTTAGGAGTGGAAGTTTGAATATGTAAGTCCGCATAACTATGATATTCACGAAATTTTCAACGTCCAAAGCCCGTAAATTCGGCAAAATTCAAGGAGCGGAACCAAACTGGACTCGATATATAACTCATCATAGTAAACTCACATACTAAAATCAGCTCAATATGTGAAGGTGTTTAGAACAAAAGTCCGTATAACTGTTATTTTCCCAAAATTTAAAAGTCCAAAGCCCGTAATTCGGCAAAAATCAGTGGAGTGGAACCAAATAAAGGCAACAGTGGTACACCGCTGTTCAATAGTCATAATTCGATCAGGCAAAAACAAATCCGGGTAACAAACTAAAACCGAGGGAAACACATCAACTGTAAGAGGAAAACAACGGAACAACATAAACACTAAACTACAACAAAAGCAACGTAAACTCGAGCTGTAACTAATCATAATAGACTCACATACTAAAAATCTGCTCAATATGTGAAGGCGTTTAAAAAAAAAGCCCGTATACCTGTTATTTCCACGAAATTTTCAGAGTCCTAAGCGCGTAATTTTGGCAAAACGCGATCTGTAACTCATCATAGAAGACTCATATACTAAAAATCAGCTTAATATGTGCAGGTGTTTAGAAAAAAAATAAATCCGTATAACTGTTCATTGGGAAATGACGGAATGATGGAAT